AGGAAGCTACTAGGAACAGGTGCCTTACTAGTAGTAACAATAAGCTACTAGGAACAAAACAGGACGGATATCACTTTCCCAGACCCTATGGTGTGTGCCATGATGGGGCTTCAGACTCGCCATGCGCAAGATATGGCTTTCCCGGTGACTTGAACAAGTTGAAAGACTCAAATGACCTAAGGAGCTTGATCATGGAATGATGCAGAGAGCACACACACTGCATTTATGTGAATATAACAGTATGTATATTGCATACTGCATATATACGTATACATAATATAGACACGAGATCTATATTACACATTTTTTGCTGCATTCCTGTGTGCATTTTCAGGAGAGTCGTTGTGCATGAACATGAACGTACATGAACCTTTTTTCTTCAAAGAGCTCCTAGCACAGCTGCATGCCCAACTAGAAGACACGCACAAATCAAGGGATTGACGATGATCGATGATTTGAATCATGTTTGTGAGCCTTCCTTAAAAGCTACTAGGAACAAGTGCATCGCTTCTAGTAACAAGTGCCACGCTACTAGTAACAGGTGCCTTACTAGTATTAACAAGAAGCTATTAATTCCGGTTGGATTCCCATTGGTCTTGGCAGCGTCTCCGCATCGGACTCAACTCGGTTTGGCGTCTCTCAGGTCATGCCCCGTCCGCCGGATGAAACACGGAAATAGCAGGGACAGGGACAGTCATTCGTACATTCACTATACGGTCACTCTCTCTCTATATATATATATACAATTATATACATATGAGGTGTTCAATATAGTGCAAGAGCCACAAAAGAGTACTATCGCAGGAAAGCACTTAGTAACTCCCAACGAGAGACACTGCTGTGCATGTTCTCAGTACTCCTTTTCTCAGACCACCGGCCGTTTCCTCCCAGTACGGCCAACAACACCAATTACACCCATTTCAGACCCCCCCACGACAGACATTCGTGGGTGGTTTCCTAGTCTTCAAGCGTCGTCGCCATCAGGACGTGGGCGCTTGCTGGGTGAAGACTCTCTCCGCCATCCCAGGCGTCACCAAGGACCGCCGGATGGCACGCCGCCGATGGCTGGCGCGCCGGTTCTACGCGCGGTCTCCGTGAGCAACGCGCGGCCGAGACCCGCGGGCGGGCGATGAGAGGGGAAGGATGGCATTGGTGCGAAGATCCGGGTTTCACTCGAAGACAACATTCCAAGAGCATGAAACCAAGGATGTCATTCCAAGAGCATGACTGCGAGACGTATTTGCGAAAGGATGGCATGACACTTTGTGGAACTGCACAAATAGGCTGTGAACTCCACTTCCATGTTATTTGTTTCCAGCTAGACGCACATTTGGAACCCGGATGGATTCAAAAAGTTTTCGGTTGTACCCAAAGTCAATCTACAAAACCAATGTATATAACATATATATATATTGAAATATGGGTGCCATCCAGGTTGTGACTGATGCCCCTTTGTGTTCCACTACGCAGCTTCGTCATCCAAGCCCACGGCAGATGGGTTGTAAGGCCTCATGACTCCAGGCTTTTTTTTTAAAATAGTTTCACCATGTTTCAACATGCTGCACATTAAACATTGAATGAATTCAATATCCCAAGTGGATGGAACATACTTCAATATGGACACCAATATCACCATTAAATTACACATCCAACAAACATTTCTTTGTGGCGTTCACCTTCGTTGATTTCGATGTGTTCAGGAGGAGGTGCTCCAACGACTGCAGATGACAGCTGGACAGGTGTCTTTCCAATGAGTAAATACACTACCCCATACACTCCATGGGACGTATATGCCGCCCCATGGACCCCCCTGGCACCACCCCTGGCCTGATCGGCAGTCCTATGGCAATCCCATGGAGTACCCATCCCTATGCCCAACAAACATGGTTACATGGATGACACCACCTGTTTGTAGAGGAACATGGTATTCCAGGAGGCCAGGACGTCCACTTATATGATTGATCTTGACGATCTGCGTTCCGGGATATTCAGAAAGTGGGTTTCAGGCAATAGGGATAGAGTTTGGGGGGCGAAAGAAGCAATTTCAATCTGACATATTAAAACATGTGAGTGTCAGGCTCAGGGATGTTGCTACCGCCTTGGCCTTTGCCTACTGGTAGCCGAAGTATAGGTATCATCCGATCCCGCTTAGCCGCTGTGCATCCTCCCAAGATGAAGTTCGTTGAAGATCCGCAGGAGATAAATTTGTTCTTTCGACCAACATCTTTTGTATGTTGTGGTTTGTCTCAAAACATGGAACCTTCACAACTCGAATTGGTGAGCACAAAATCTTAGTCGAAACCCTCCCAAGAGGGTTCCAATCTGGAATCCATAGACATATAATTATAATAGTCATTTATCCATACCTTTTTTTCACAACTTCCAGGTTGGTCTGGCTTTCCCGCATAAACTACTTGAGCCTTACATACTTATACCCTCCAAGCCATGACTCCGTCCAAACACCTCCAAGCACCCGATCTCCACGAGGTCCGAGGGCTTCGGCCTTTGCCGCTGAGTGCAGCTTTGCTTCGCTTGGCCAACTTGCCCGAGCAGCTGATCTTCGATCTGCGCCACGTGGCTGAAGAACCATGAAAGCTCGTGGATGGCGAGCACGATGTTTCGGGGTTTCCAGCGTCCGGCAGAGCAAGGGCCGTTGAAAGGGATGTATTTTTGGTCGTCCCAAATGGCTTCTGGGACAGGATGGAGAGGTCATATTCTTTTTCACGAAGAGGGTTCATGCACCAGTGAGTTGACATGTTCTTTAGCTGCAAGCCGGGAGGGCATAGTTTTTCTCATGTTGAGACACCTAAGTCGACGGAAAAACACCTTGACAGTCAGCTTTCCGTAAAGTTTTGTGTCGGAGGCCATCGGACAGTGGGATGCGTAAAGATTTGGACCAGACTTGATCCAGACTGTTTCAGAAGCCAGATGACTTGGAATACTCCAGCAATTCAGCAACAACAACAACAGCCAAACAAATATGGCACATGTTTGAAATGGTTCAAAGACTCTAGGAACATTGGACGAGGCTATGTAGAAGGGACTTGAAGTCTTTGCAGTTGGAAATGCTTTACTGTACCCAATTGAGCCCGAGTACAAATGTGGCTGTGTGGAGCCCCCGCCACTCATGCAGTTTCAGGGTGTGTGTGTGTGCTTTTCTTCACGCCATCTTAGTGCATGATGTGCGGGTTGATGAGTGCATGATGTGAGTAGGATCGATGGTGCGTCATTCATGCGCGCCTTTTGCACTGAGTCGAGGATTGGGCGATGGACATGTTTTGTTTCATTGGGCGAGGTCTTGGTATCCAAAAGTTGGCTTTCGTTGAGATTTGCATGTATAATTGAATATAATTGTATCGCCATGATGTCTTCTTTCGTTTGGTTTGCATTGCAAATATCAGGAAATGCTTGAGAAAGTGGTTGGTTCTTGCAGCCCTGTATATATATATATATATATTACTATTTACCTTTCAACCCTTGAGCCTTTAATACTTTGCAGGGTTGAATTGGGGAGAGGCATTGGGCAATTGACTTTACTCTAAGAGGAACTTCCTAAGATTATGCCGAACCCTTGTCCTTCATGGTGTACCGAACCCTATGATAGTTACTGTCCGACGGGCGGTTGGAATTAGACCCTAAACGATCCGCACATACCTTCTCAGGGATCCGGTACGACTGGGCCCTCCTGAGGGCCTACATCAAAAAGTCTCCCCGCTCACCGTACCGACCTGGTTCCGTGCCAGTGGATCCATAGGGAGAGATGTTCAGCTCACTTCTGAGACCTGTCGGACGTGCAGATCTGTCGTGCTTCCTCGGATCACTTGGTGTGTGTTTGTTTGCAAGTGAACCACTCATGGTTCAAAAAGGAAAACATCCGCAGGGTGAGTGTTTCTCCTTTAGGAGGAACAAAAACACAAATCCGTCCATCCATCCATCCGTCCATCCATCCATCCATCCATCCATTCATCCATCCATCCACCCATCCATCCATCCATCCAGCCGTGACCTCGGACCCTTGTCTCATCCGAGGTCACCGGATCCTGTCTCGTCATCACTCCATGAGCCACATCTTTGAGACCATGGCACCGCACCTCCGTGGGCTGCATGGCCAAGGCGCCGGGACCCGAGAAGGACGGTACCGCGGGTACTACCGCGACGGACTGCGGAGGAGGATTCAGGTGTAAAGAGGTGTAAAGAGGTGGAAACTGGGAAACTTCCAAAAGATCGAACAAGTTGGGCATGATGATGGAACGGATGTTCATGTTATTTTTGTTCAGATGATGGAACTGATGAGTTCCCTATGACAAAGCAATCGCGGACCAAGTCTTTGTTTCTGTTTAGGGACTCTGAAGAGGCCATCTTCGGTCTGAAAAAAGCTGCAGGCGAGACAAGTCCTGCATCCATTGTTCTTGTCATGTTCGTCGCGTTCTTCTCCCGTGTTTTCTGACACCGTGATCCGTGGGACTTCCTCGGTCCGGAGACCCGATGCGTTGGAGCCAATCTTCGATCTCTTTAGGAAAAATTGGCTTCTCCACTCAAATCCAACAGGTGAAAAAAAGGGTATAGCATGGTATAGCTTTATCATTCATGTTCCAGGAAACTGAGGAAGAGAGCAAAATTGTAGCGAGACAAATTACAACAGTGGCATGTTGGGCTCTCCTGTAGAGAAGAGCAGTATAGAACAGCTGTTTCTTTTCGCAACACCGAAGATGGAGTTTGGTCTACAGTTGGTCGTTTATCCAAGAAGCCGTGATCCTTGAGAGCTCCGACCTCTACGATGGTTACCAAACAAAAAGACCATGTGACCGTGCGGCCAGGCAATCTTGCAAAGCTGATCTTGGACGATTTCCGGGGGAGTTTCCAGCAGGTGCCCGTGTGGACAGATATTGGGACAGAGTATACTAGAGTATAGTTCCTAGAGCTGTTGAGGGCCTCCAGACAGTCTTTGGAGCATGTGGAGAGTTCCTACCTGCATTACTGTGTTGAGGACAAGCGCAGTAACCCTGAAGCATACAGAACATTACAGAACATGCACTTAGGATATCTTAGGTGATTGTTTTGAATTACATGCATTTCTTTACATTCAATTAATTTTGCATCATGATGATTTGCACCGTCATCAATTGTCTTATGCATCCAGCTCTTATCAGGTTTCTGGTACGTCGCAAATCAGCGGCGTTAGGCAAGAGATCCAGGTCGCTTGGTCCCTGATACAACACAAGAAAACTTTAAGGAAACAAGCTGGCGGGTTCATGTCTCATTCAAAAGTTCCCTGTGATAGTTGAAGGAATCTGGAGAACCACTCCCGACACACCCCATATCATGCTCCCAACATGCTGCTGGATGTTCCATGGATTTGCCTTTCTGTGCAATAGGATTTTGTAGTTTGCTCTTCCTTTTCTATCTCTTTGGAATGCCGCGTTGGTGATGAGAAACTTCCAACTAGGACTTGGGGCTGGCTTTGGGCAACAAATTCCGAATGGATTGATACCTAAGAACTTGTTTGTTCAGACAAACATAACAGCGATCAATCAAACCAGTGGATACATTGACACATGCTCTAGACATCTCTATAGACGTTGCCTGTCATTGGTCCTAGCTGGAGCGGAAGCTGCTTTCATTTCTCGGCCCTTTTGAGAGTTGTTTGCCCAAACACCAGCAACACCATCGAAATGCCAGGTCTTGGATGATGATGGTGGTGAAGATGAGGACGAAGCAAAGCTGACCACACTCTTTGCAGCGTGCGATACACATCAAGATGGAGGGATAGATCAGGAGGAGCCAACTTCCGTGTGTGTTTCTCAGTGTGTGCGTGCCGCTCAAAGGTTCCCTGCCTGGTATATATGCACATACAGAGGTTTTGGCTTGGTCTCAAGGTGTTCCTCCAACTCTCAGGATTGAGTCATTGAGTCACTATACTCAGTTGTTTGTTTTCGGCTCCTGAAGTATTCGTACATGCATTTCTTTGCAGCGCTTCAGCTTCATCCGGGCAGAGGAGCAAAGGATCCGCCGAGAGACTCAGACCAAACACTTCATAATGCAGACCAGGAATTGACACTTGACCATCCCTAGGGCTCCAACTACCTCCGTTTCGAATGTGGTTAGGGGGGTCTAACCACCGAACGTGAGGATATGGTTGGAGCCCTAGGCTTGTGTGGCAGTACGTATACGGGTGGTTTGGTGTTCTTTCACCTGGCAAATCCTTGTTCCGGGCAAAGCACACGACTTTCCCATGTTGCTTAAGCAAATCCAAGTGTGGAGTCAGATATTGTCGACACAGACTCTGAAGCGCAAGCGCATCTACTATATAACACACCATGGAATGAATACCATGGACAATCCGCTCTGCAGATCAACAAACCAAACATGTAAAGCTTCACTACGTAGGTTTTGCATCGACGGCCATTTGTTTACCTTGAGACAAATACATATTCTTGCTTATACTTATCATGTAATCATTCGCTATGGCACTGGATCTACTCGGTCATAATTTGCGTTTGAATCCCAACAACATGTGTATATATATATATATATTATTTTTTTTCACACAGCACCACCGGCCACCGGGTTTACCCAACACATGACAGGTGCGTGCCGGCACAAGAATCCGCACCACACCGCACAGCAGGAGCTGCAGCAGGCGCTTTCCATCGCAGCACCGCCAGCGAACTTGTCACGGCTGCGGACCTTGGCCATCCTCCAGTGCCGCGGACCGGAGGGTGGGGTTGACGCGCAGAGGGCTATTGAAAAGGAGGGAGGGACCGGTGTTTTGAAGGTGGTCAGTGGTCAAGAGTCTGGGGTCATTTTGTGCTCAAAGGGTAGTTTATGGACCCCACTACGTACTTTACCGTCCAATCACCACCCTTTGGGCGGTGTTGGGAGTGCTGTAGTGAAACACACCCGCGACGATCACACATTCGTGTTCGATCACTTCCAACCCCAGCGCCTGGGCCGATGACCTTTGCCAAGCTCTGGTGAGGTAGATACCTGTGGGACATCCGACCCCCCAAAAGAAATTCGACCCAAAGAAGGGGATGGACACACACCGCACCCACCGACACCCACCAAATCGGATGGAACTGAGGTTTGGAAGTTGGAGGGCGGCCTTTCACAGCCTGGGCATCGGTGTTGAGGATCCCATCACCGAGGCATGGAGAGGAGAGGGAAGGAGAGGAAAGGGTAAAGTTCAGGGAAGTCCAAAAGCAGGTGGGTGCTACTTCGCAGGTACAAGAGTTGCTTGCGACAGGAGCTAACAAGAATACCGTTAGAACAAGAGAGAGTGGGACGTTGTGGAGGCCCGTGTCTTACATTGTTTTTCTTTTTTGCTTATGTTTTGCACTTGTACTTAGAAACATGTTTGTTGTAGCCGTATAGCAAGTTGGTATCAAATAGCCTTGTACTATTGTAATATAATGTTAACCTCCCAATAATGAACCAAGCATCAATAATGATCAGTTTTTTGGCCTGCCAGGATGTTGCAATGTACTTTTAACTGGGCCAACATCCAGACCCCAAAATGGACAACAAAATTGTCGAATCAATTATAAACATGAGAAGACAATAATAATCAGTATTGTTCTCTCAGATCCCAACACCAGGCTCGCCCGGTCAATCGAACGTCCTGGCCGAGGCTCGTTTTGTGGCTCTTGCATCGAATCTGGATATCGCCTATGAAGACTCTTGGATCAAATAAAAAATCAACATTTTGTACACAACACGCAGCCAGCACCACCCAAGTCGGGTGGTTTCTAGCCCGCTTGGCTATATATATATATATGTGTATTTTTTAAAATCACCACCTGCACTGGGAGGTGCTGGAGGGTCCTGTTCCACCATCCTGCACAGCCTTTCCCATCCTCATCCTGGTGTTGTGTAGGATGATGTTTTCATGTGTTGTATATATGTGTGTGTTTTTCCCTCTGGGCGAATCCTCTTTGGGCCTTCTAGTGAAGATATGTGTTTCTTCCCGGCTTCCAGAGCACGCCATGAGATAGCACGCTGATTTGGATCAGCACTATACCTTCAATGGGAGCCGCGAAATCATGCAAAATCCAAGTGAGCAGCGGTCAAAACTTCTTAAGTAACACTTTTGAAGAGAGGTTCCCATTTTTCAGAACCAATTCTCCGGTTTGCTTCGTCTTCCAGTCCTCCAAAACACTTCGTCATATGAGTCACATATCGTCCTCCTCCCAGGACGCCTGGGCGATGTTCGCCACCTTATCGCCCACGGGGGAGCCGGTGACGGTGCCCGAGCTCTCGCAGCACGGCAGCGACTTCGGGTTGCACGAATTCGCGCTGCGCGTTTGGCTGGCCGGGGAGGCGGGTGGACGCTTGACCGGGTCGACTGGACCACCGGGGGGGGGAATGAGGGGAGGTTGGGGAGATGTAGAGAGAGAGAGGTGTCGGAGAAGAGAATGGTACCAAACAGAGACATGGATGGATCTGGAACTTTGAGAGGGTCGTGAAGTTGATGTTTGATGTTTGATCTTGTGGCCATTTCGTGGCCCGGTCACGAGAATTCCGACTGGACGGACGTGGACGTGGTGCAAACTGGTCTATGTGGATGATCCCAACTTGATGACTTGATCAGTACGGATCAAGTAGACCTGAATACCGGAAGCCTCCAAAGAAAATACCTATATGACCTAGACATCGATCCATTGTTTCATGGTACGTCGGGTCGGGTCATGGAGATCGATCCGATCCGGTCATCGTATCCCGGTCAGGCGGGATCCACGTTGCAAGACGCTGCGAAGCGTTTGCACGCTCCCGCCTTCGAAGGAGACTTAGGCAGGGATTTGTTTTTTTTTTTTTTTTTTTTTCTGGGCATGGGTGACTGGACATGCGTGGGGAGAAGGGGAGAAGAGGCCGACGACGTGACGAAATAGCAATGTTCACGATCAACACTTGAAGAAGGGGCCATGTCTCAAAGAAAGGGTAGATCCCTATAGAAAGAAAATATGACTATGCTACGCAGTTCTTCAGTGTTTTGGAAGCACTAAGCAGGACAAACCACAGAGCAGAAGAAGTCATCATGATTTCACCATGTCTTTTCGTAACCTAACTGTCACAAGCCCATGTTTCCAGAGATTCCAAGGTTCAGAAACGTGTACAAGGTTTCCTTGAGGTCCTTCAACTTATGTAATTTACCAGTGAAACTGTAGCATCAATGTCCAAAGGGTTGTTGGCAATGAGGTGCATGTCATGGATAGCCAAACTAATGAGTCGGGCACTTCCGATGTCAATCTGAACAAAGCACATTAATGGGATAGTTTCTCCATCAACTGGGGGTAGATGGATAATCCTGGATAATATGTTGTTCAATCGACTGGCGGTAGATGGAAAAGTCATCAACTTGGGGTTAGTAGATGGACAAATTATCCATGGACAGGGGGTAAATTGTGAATTTCTCCATCGATTGGCGGTAGAGAAATTCCCCATCTGCCGCCAGTGGATGAAGAAATTATTCATCTACCGCCAGTCGGTGGAGAAAATCATAATTATGAATGGCGTTTGATTGAGTTGTAGAACGCAGACAACTCATTGGGGCTTTGGTGCTATCGCATTTTTGTGTGGACGTTTGGTTATGTTACCCGGAGAGGATGATGGGAAGACAAGACTGTTTGCAATGCACAAAAGTGCCAAGCATTTTTGAGCCCTTGCACTGCGGGCTTTCCTATAGACGTATTAGGGACACCAACCACAGTAGTGATCCCACAGCACGGCCTTAAACCAAGCACCACCCATGTCCAATTGTCATGACATTCCCATTCCCAACTCCGAACTCCCAACATTCCTTCTTCATTGTTTATTTCTAGCATGCCATTTTACATGTTTCTGAACATGTGCAATGTGCAGGTGCAATGTGTCAGGGGTGATTCCATTTTCAACATTCACGTTTGCATGCTTCCTGCTGCATACCCCATATTACGACAGTTCATATCCAGTTTTGATGTGCAGGTTTTCCATGCACAAGGGATCCACATACCTTCTCAGAATGTACTTGGACCCTCCGAGCCTACATAAATAGCTCCAATCACCTTCTCAGGTTCGGTATGTGGATCCACAGGGTATACGGTATACACTTTCTCCACGAAAGGACCGCCGTGTCCAAAAACGCCCTGCAGTCCTCGCCGCTGCAGCCTGAGGCCTCCAGCGCTTCCGAGAGGTCTGCGGCTTGAGCGAGGTGGGGCCGTTTTCCTCACGGGCACAGTCGGCATGTGATGAGGAGGAGTCCATGCGTTGTAGGCCAGGACCAGTGGGCGTTTTCGGAAAGGAAACCAACCGGCATCGGAAAGGGAAAACGGAACATAACAAGTATAGCCCGGTAGAGTGGCCCCACCATTGTGCACCAAACGAATCATGTCCCGCCCAGTTGAGGCATCACGGAAACCACCAGAACTGACCCGTTCATCAACTGACCGAGTTGATGGAGGGAGACCTCCAGAACTGACCTCCGGTGGTAGACACGCCCGTGGCACCAAAGGGCGCGCCGGCACCACCGAAGGGCGCGCTGCTGAGGATGGAGCCGCCTCACTGAGCACAGCTTCAGCCTCTCTGGGAACCGCGCGGCTTGGTGGCGGAGTATGGGACGGAGCTGGCTTCTTTGGGAGGGTTGTTGCATTCTGGAAGTGGGGAACTTGAGACATAAGTAGATCATAGTTATGTGATGTTATGTGATTTTTTTTACAATGAATAATCAGATAACCGATCTTATATGTTAAGGCCATATACTGTTCGCTTTGTTTTTTCCAACAGGTGCTTTGTGGGTGAAAAGAGCTGTTTGTTTCAGGGCACCGGGAGATAGGGATGTGCTTAATTGGGGAGGGCGTCTAAATGCCTCTACTAGGACCTTCGCAATGAACCTTTTACATCACTTAGACATTGAAGAGTTCAGCTACAAATCCTGAAAAGGTCATTGGGAAGCTCTAGGCATGTTGGCACTGAAAAGTCCTCTCAGTCCAGTCAGTGAACGGTGTGGTAAATAGTCCTGACTGGGCACCCTCTATATATATATATATGACTTGTTTCATGAGCTATGTGTCTACGGGAAAACATTATCATCTGTCTATATTGTATATATTTATAGATATCCACATTATTTCTAGTTAGCACAGATTGATACAACAACTTACCCTTGCTCTTGCCAAACGCCAGCAGCCATGTTTTTTTGGGAGACTCGATCTTGCTGCAGAACGTGGTTCCATCAATCAAGGTACAACATGCAAGACAAATTATCAACTGGATTTGCAGGCTGAATGAAGGGTGCCTGCAGAAACAGCAAACACAGGAGATCTCATGTGTGTACTGTTAACTTGCTAGTAGAAACAAGTGCCACGCTAGTAGTAACAGGTGCCTTACTAGTAGTAACAAGAAGCTAGTAGTAACAAGTGCCACGCTACTAGTAACAAGTGACAGTCGTCGGCTAAGAACGGTCCTATATTCAATGTGCTGCCAGGGAAGAGGCGTTGCGACCGTGTGCAGTCCAGCACGCGGATGTCCGTGCTGGACATGTGGAACAGGCCAAAATCTTTGAGACATACTAAGAAGATATAAACATTGTTTCTGTCTATGAGGGTGTCTCCTTACGTAGAAGGAACAAGGTCAGCTCTCTTTATATACATGTTGGGTTTGTCCTATTCAATATTACCTGCAACAGTCAGTGAACAATTATCACTATTTTAGAGAAAGGCCTTTACTAACCATCATCATCCACTGTTACAGGTAACAGGATAGACCGAATACTGAATATAATTGAATATATATATATATGACATTCTATCTATGACCTTCCTATGTTTGTTCTCATGTGATGTTTCTTCTTTATCTTATCCCTTTTTGCCGTTACGGTCAGTTACGGTCCCACCAATGTTCCAACTGCCCTCAGGTGAAACAGTATGACCGGTGTGATACCTTACTCGATACCTTCCTTTGTCCGGGTGTTTGTCCGGGCACAACTATCTCCGGTGTTTGTCCGGCGATGCGGTGATGCTTGTCCGGTTGAACGACCCATCCCGGTTGTCGACGATCCCATGGACCCATATGGACCCTGAAGACCACTGATTGGTACAGGGAAACAATCAGACCCACGGGGCCAGCACGTCAGGGGTCCATGGGATGGTTTTCGGAAGTGGAACTCTTTGAGCAATCAGACCCAGACCTTGGAGAAGAATGATTTCCTGGTGCACCTACTAGGAGCAAGGACGCTACTAGGGGCTCCTGGCCGTACTACTAGGAACAAGTAGCTATAGTAGGAGCCCCTGGCATCGCTACTAGGAGCAAGGGGGCTACTACCTACTGAAACCGCAGAACACCCACCATGTGGTGTCTGGGAAAACTGTCTGAAGCGCTCAAGAAATTAGAACAGTGAGCGTTGGAGCTTCCAGCGTTTGAGCGTTGGAGCTTCCATTGTGACCATATAGATCTCCTTTCTGACCTTAGAGTCTTCGTCAGTGAGAGGCAGAGACCCCAGCTGAGGTCCAAAGGATTGTCGTCCTCCAAGCGAATCCCCTCTGCCACTTGGGGATGGGCGTGGGTGAGGATGGTAGAGAAACCAATTGAGCAAATTTGAAGCAACATGAGACAGACAGACAAACAAGCGAACACTCTCATCAAGGTTTGTCAAAAGGGATGGATGTGAGCAACGTTTTTGGAGTCCCATGTTTGAGAACATGTCCTTGGGCTTTGTTTGCTCGTGCTTGATGAGGCTGTTTTTGATGTTTACCATTGTGGACTAATCTTCGGAAGCTAAAGGCCCTTTCTCAATAGCGTTAACTTCAATTGTTACACTCTGACTCACCAACATGGGAGTGGAAAATGGTCCCTTGAAAGACTACTTTCCTTTGGAAGCAGGGGGGTTTCCACTTCCATGTTAGTGAGTCGGAGTGTATTTGGTAGATTATACTCTGACCCACAACATGGAAGTAGAACATAGGCTGTCTACGCACAGGGGGCGGGAACCCCACGTGCATGTTATGTGTTCGTGGGAGTTTAAACAGACAAGAAACACAACATATATAGAAAAAATACATCTCCATCCACATCTACTCTTGCTCCCACTTTGGAGGGAGTGGCCGAGCATTGAGCATTTGGACTCGGAGACTGAATTCGTCATTTACCCCACAGAACGTTGATGAAATGGACGATGAGAGACACACCTGGCTGGTGATGCAAATGGTGACCATGGTGTCGCACCATGCTCTCAGGTGAAGTGTCATCCTCCCTTGACGGAGAACGAGGTGACTGCGGCCTACGCCGAATTCAAAGCCAAGTATCACTCGGTGACTCTAGGCGAGGTCCACGTTTTTTTTAATTCATGCGACAGGGTGAGGGCCGAGGGCGAAGCGACCAAGGAGTTCTGCATCTTAGAGCACTTGGACTTGGAATCCGGAACATCTCAGGATTCATGATATATATTCATCTGGTGAATCTGAGACTATTCGCCGAAATCTGAGACTATTCGTCATCATGGTCTGAGACTATTTCCCAAAACTGTGGCTCCTGTGAGGGTATTCCCTCACCAGTGATCGACCCATCTTCGTTTGCGCAAGTCTGGGTGATTTTTTGTTGATCCATCCCTTTGGGTAAATTCTATCCTGGAGAAACTGGGTTAGTCACTGATTTGTTGGGCTTCCTGGGCGGCAATTCCAAGTCTCGTGGAGATTTGAGGTTCTTTGCCCTCGTAGTCTTGGGTCCAACTCTGCTATCGTGGAGGACATTTTGTTTCGCAGCAGGGTAAATGAGACATCCTTGGCAAGAAAGGGGTGCCAAACAAATTGATCTTGATGAGTTGCGTCCAGAAACTGCCAAATCCACCAGTTGCGTCAGTGCAGCGCTACCGTAACCTGTCAAAATCATTCAAAATCCCCACATGCATTGTGCATTTTCCTTGTGTTGTTTTATATTGGTCTTTTAGACGTTTTAGAGTACCTTGGCCCAGCAAGGTCAAGCTATTGGTGACGGCAACATTAAATTCTACTGTATTTGTGATTTGATTTGATGACCAACACCCTTCTCTCTTACCGTCCTCCAAGAGTGCCACCTTCCGTTTGCGATTGCAGAACGGGGCACCCATGAATTCTTCTCCAACCAATTAAATTGATTAGGTTGGTTGATTATAGAGGGAATACTCCGGTGAACCGCCAAGTCTCATAGACTTGACCCCGCTCGCACCCACCCTCTGACCTGCCGGCATCAACCGGCGAATTCACGTGCCAAACTCCGCCCGCATCGGCTTCCAGCTCCTGCAGGTGCCATCCGCTCGGAGCTGGAGAGCAACACCGCCTTCTCCAACGTCTTGGCCTTGGCCGCTCGGCCCCCTGCGGACGTCGCTCGGGTTCGGCGTCCGGCGGTGTCAACGGCACGATCGCTGGGCGGTGGGACATGCAACGCCCGAAAATTTGGGGGGGTGATCCATTTGGTTTGGCACCAGAACCATGTCCCACAGAGTTCTTGTTGATCCCATGTGTGTGCCACAGTCTAGTCGTCTCCCCAAGAGCGCCTCTTGGTTTTTGAGTTGCATGGTGCTCTCGGAAGGTTTGGCTTCTGCTGGTTGTCTCACCCCTGTTCGGAGAGCTGTTCTACCTTCGCTCAAAAGAAAAAGGGCCTCAGAGAGTCCACAAAAAGGAGGGGGGTTGAGATGGTCATGGGTGGCGGTTGGATGATGGATGGATGGTGAAGGGTAGCTGAAAAGGTGATTTTGTTGGATCTGGAAGACTTGGAGGTGCGGATCGCTGTGGTACAGAATATCAGAATATCAGACTCGGTCAGGATCACGTTCTTGCAAGATGTATCCCGGCTAACATGACCAAGAGTCTCATGGTTGCAACAAAAGTGTTGTATAGTTTTGTCAATATATCGTGATCAGAGTGCTCAGAGTTCTTGCACAGTGCGGTCCGACATAGTAGTGCTGTTGTTGTTCTTTGATGTGTAATCCCATTCATACCAATGCGGTGCCAGGACCTGTAAGGCTGGCAATTTGATATGTTACACGGAAATTTGGTGTCGTTGTTTTCGACATACTCGTACAACTTAAGCATATAATATGTCGACCGGTGCGGAGGACTTTGCAGCAACACGTCGGTTTGGCCGCCGCACAGGACCGCAGCTCCGCGAGCATAGGAGAAACCATGGTAGTGCGCTACCGGGTGCCTCATGCACTACAATCTCAACTGAGATCCTCGGACAGGGCAAGCTGTGGGATGGAAACTCGAGAGCTTTGGCATTGGGGGAAGCTATTGTGACTTCTTACATCGGGTGTTTGCTGGTCTTGTTGATGCCACATCCATTGCTGACCATAGTGTCATGGCCCGTCATGGCCGTTGGTGGGAAGGTCCTGCGTCCGGTTGTTGGTGGAGAAGATATGGCGAGGCGTGCTCACAGTGATCATCATGAGAAAACTAGGAGAAGTTCATGATTGAAGTTGGAGATTTGCCGAACATTTGAGGAAGGGTCCAGAGTACTTGCAGCACGGACCAGAGACAGAGGCGACTGATGCCGACTGATGCCAACAAACTAGAAGCAATGGTGAAGCAGTACATTGTGGATCAAGTGCAAAGAAACCTCTACAACGTGTGGTGCAAGAAGGTTTACAGTTGTAGTCACACACAATATAAGCTTTGCACTATATAAACAGCGTCCCAAGATAGAATCCAAAAGTCGAAGATGTTTCGATATGCTTGGTCTTCCGCCAAGGGGGTTCAAGACAGGCTTTGGAGCATGTCTTTTGGAGGGAGGGTGTTCTTTATTTGCTCTTTTGTTTGGTGGAAAGTCTTGTATCCTACAACTTCTTCAATGTCTTCATCAGTTCATTTCTATTGCAGAGATCTATCGAAACAATAAGCAGATAAGCATATGTTCAAGCTAGTTTTTCTAGAGAATGGCTTATGGCAACCTTAAATCAGTAACATCCTTCAAGAAACTGCATTTTGTCCTGTGCGTTCTGAGATTTTGCCATCTGGTTTCTTCACCGGACAAAGAGGAACCCCGCGTGGCGAAGTTTCGCCGCGTTTGAGTCTGACGCCTGAGGAGAACATCCCTTCATTGCACTGGTGCCCTCGAACATGGCCTGGATGTCAGGCGCTTCATGACCGCTTCACTAGCGCAGTGTATGAGTTGCTTATAGGCACCAACAAATAAAATACAAATAGCACAATCCAATTATGTTACAAGTATCTCTTCACGTGTACACAACACCAACTGCCGAATGTTGTGTGAAGAAAGAGAGGGAGGACACGGGGGTTGAACGTTCAATCGGTCCCACATTCGAACACGGGGCCACGTATGAAATAGGGTCATGAACAAATAGGGTCCCACTTTTCAGAGCCTGATTCTTTTCAGAGCTGAAAAGTGAGAAGCACTTACATTACTATATGACCAAGTCAAGTTTGGTCTTTAGAACAGAGCCCCAGGTAAGGCTAAACTCTTCCAGCATGGCAGTTCATACAGATCCACGAGATTCCACGAGTACGGCTCTTCAAGCCAATATCAGTGCGGCCGTTCGGAAGGTTTGCTTTCCCTTGGCAATCCCAGGTGGCGGCGGCTGCTGGATGATCGGCCGCACCACGCCCGTCACCGAGATGACCGGCCCCAAGTTCTCGCTGAACCGCAACGGCGAAGGCCTTCGTCACCGGATGGTCGGAACTTGGGTGTTGGGGTGGTCCACACAAGCGGGGACGCGGTCGAGGACCGTCCCAAGCTGCCTGGCACTGGAAAAAACTTGCCAAGGTGGCACAAGAAAGATTAAATGGTTGCCATATGTTGTGATCGGTCGGTTGGCAGGGAGGTCGGTGAAATCCGTCCAGGTCATTGCCTGAAATCGCTCCAACACCACATCTGCAGGTTCATGTCCACCGTGCGACGCGTTCTCCCAGCTAGAAGTATAGTGACCGAGACACCAATACCCCACCTGTTTGAGACTTGCCTTTTAATCTTGGGGTTGTTATTAATATTGGTCAATGTAGGCTGTAGGCAAACAACTATTCCAGTCCCATGTTTGGGTACTATAGAGTCTGACCAATTCAGAGAGTTCGGTGGAGCTAAACAGACGTGACGTAGTCATACGTAGTCTCAAATCCTCAGTCGTAAAGCTTCTTCGTTTCACAATCCCATCAAATTCTCATCAAATCCACTTAAATGGTGCAATCCCGGAAGACGAGACAAGACGAGACAGGCACCTGCGTTTTCGCCCTGCGTTTGAGTTGCAGGTGTTTTGCGTCTCCAAGTCTGGCCGGGCGTGAGCCATTTGGAGCTCGGCGCCGCCGACCTGCGCATCTTCGCTTCGCCGGATGGCATGGCCATCGGCCGGCAGGTGGGGCGTCGGCCGGAAATGCGTTGGGCGGCGGGTCAGCGTTTGCCGCGCAGGTCCGCGTTGGTCTGCTGGAGTTCGTGGGGGGTCTCGGAAGTCGTAAGAAGACGTCTCTCATGCAATAACCCTATAGGGCTACCTCCTGAGAAGGTGGTTAGGGTGGGCGCCAGGGGCGTCTAACCACCTTCTGAGGATATGGTTGGAGCCTAGGGATAATTATAGCATAAATTAGCATGATCAAGTGGTGGATTCAAAACCCCAAACCCCTAAAAACCTTAGGGCTTCAACACACTGGCTTTGGACCTTAGTTAGGGTTTCAAAACCCTAACCCCTAAAAACCTTAGGGTTTAGGGTTTTAGGGCTTTTAGGGTTTTAGGGTTTAGGGTTTAGGGTCCGCCAACAAGGAAAAGGAAAAGGAAAAGGAAAGGAGAGGAAAGGAAAAGGAAAAGGAAAGGAGAGGAAAGGAAAAGGAAAAGGAAAAGCACGCCCTAATGCCTATAATTTTCAAGGAAAAGAAAAAGGAAAAGGAAAAGGACAAGGAAAAGGAAAAGGAAAAGGAAAGGAGAGGAAAGGACAAGGAAAAGGAAAAGGAAAAAGAAAGGAGAGGAAAGGAAAAGGAAAAGCACGCCCTAATGCCTATAATTTTGCAGGAAAAGGAACAGGAAAAGGACAAGGAAAAGGAAAAGGAAAAAGAAAGGAGAAGAAAGGAAAAGGAAAAGCACGCCCTAATGCCTATAATTTTTTGCTTAGGTTAGAGTTGGGAGGAGATGCTTCTTCACAGTCTTGCATGCAGAGAAATCGGCGACGACCTGCGTTGATGAGCGGTTGTGTGCCCCACCACCCACTACGCAGTGCACCTTTACAGGGCAATCTTTGTCAAGCTCATAAAGCTATCAAGGATGACACAATTTCTGAGACACGAGTGTCCGGGTTCTGCCATTGAGGAAATCCTTACACTCCTGATCGAAATTCATTCATATTGATGACCAGACACTTTCTCACCAACCCAAGATCACCTTTAATGGTCCCTGGTCTATCGACCATCCTCAAGATGTTGACGCCACAACAACCTCCTCATGTTCAGCCCTTTGCATCCTTATTGTGCATCAAACTAAGCCATCAAATCATCATTCACATTTGATGTTTAAGGCATTTTAAGCAGCTTCTTTCTAAGCAACTAATTACACTGTATGCATATTCAATCAGCTTTGCGTGAAACCTATCCCCGGTCCGGTCTGACAGGTCAACAAAAGGCCATGTGACATGTCGGAGTGGGGAGTGACGTCGTCCAGCCAGGGTCCATCCTGCTCTCATCATCGCGAGCCGGTCAGGAGGGGTCTGTCCAAACTCCGGACAATACTAGTAGCAAGGACGGTATTAGGTGGAGGCCATTGCAAGTAGGTTGGAGGCCATCGCTACTAGTAACAAAGGGCATCGCTACAAACGGAGCATGTTTCAGCTTCGAGCTCCGATCTCGGCTCCAGGTCGGCTCCAGTGCCATGTTTCAGCTGCGCCCGCCGGCGCCTGCGAAGATCATGCCCTTGGGACCTGGGGCGATGGTCGATATATGGGGACCGCGGGGATGTCTTGGAGGGGAGTTCGGAGACGAGACCTGACACATGTCGACCTGTGCATGTGCGTATATAGTGTAGCTATGTAGCTCTTGAATGCTCTTGGTATTTTCGGATTGATGACAACATAAACGACTATCCTAGAACGAAATAAAACCACAAATATGAATAGTCTTCACAATCCATGTTTTGGGGGGGTCTGTGTGGTGGGTGTGAAGTGGGTTTTACGAAGGACGGGAGTTTTCCCATGATTTCCTGCTCCACATGGTGATGACTGAGGATCGAAGCTGCTTCCTTGACCCCGACCAGTACGCGGCTCTTGTGGGAGGCGCCCAATCCACCCGTGAGTGCCTTGGTGTTTGCATGTATTTCCTTAGCGCTGCAGTCGCGGACCCTCCCACTCTCAGAAGGTACTTGGAGTCCTACGGCTTGTGAAGATCTACTGGTGTTTGGTAGCGCCATGTATATTATTTATATATGGCATATGCAGATGTTATAGGACATGTAGTGCCAGAAAATACAAAAAAGTAGAGTCCTGGATGGTATCAGGGAAGCTGGGACCTGGCTTTAAACTTCAAGGCTTTTCTGGTACAAAGCCAATCCCATAAAGCTTTCACAGAAGGTGCTTCAGCTTCAGGGTCTTGAGGGAAGATAGTATCGCAATGGTCGTGGCACCCCCCAATGCATGCTGCACTAGAGCTTCTAGCCTACCAGCGCTACCAGTAATCTTCGTGAGTCTTTGTACACTTTTCTACCCAGGTGACCAGTCGGCTGGCTAAAGCCCATCCGCTGGCTCAGGTCGACCTGCTACAGAGTCACAGTTTCGCTATGTGGTGCGTGGCAAAGCCATGGGCTTGGATATCGAACAAGAAGCAGTTCTCCAGGACTGGCAGAAAGACCACAGACACCTGTGCCCTGCAGACCGTGCAACCCACCACGACCCATGTGACAGTGTTCAATGTAGCCAGAACGTCCTAGAACCCAGACATGACCTCTTTTCTCCATCATTTGATTTAAATACAACACCAAATTAACTATTGGGATATAAGTAAGTATATAGTATATAGTTTAATGTTGTTGTTGGGCCGTAAGTTGTGGATAGGAGGAAAGTGATGAGTGACAGTGAGGAAGTCCTTACAGCGCTCATTTGTTTTGATAGGAAAAGGCCATATGTTGGAGAGTTGATCCTCCAAAACAGTGGGTCACTCAGGCTCTAGGTTTGTTGTTAGTACATGTTTGTACTATGGTGTTACAATCATGCTAAGGATTGGATATAGACTGGGTTGTACCATGGACCATGAACCCCTTTCTGCATCATTGCTTTGTCTCATAGCGTTTGAACATGTTGGAATACTGCTCAAATAGTCCAAGAACGTTCTAACACCCTCGAGAGATGCTGTCCAGTTTTTCACGACCCACTGAGCCACACCACGTTACAGCTCCTGATGCACCACAGCATGTCACTAAACACGCAAAGCGTGTTTTGGATGAAGGAGTCGTTCTTTGATCTACAGGTGTCCCACTTGTTTTACCCTGATATCGGCAGGTTCTTCCTTTCCCCAACTGCCCAAATGGAATGCTCCTCGCCCAACTCCCTTCGCCAGGAGCAGCAGGTGTGGTCGCATCTGAAGAAGTCCACCTCGAAGTTCCTGAGCCGCTGTGAAGAAGTCCACCGAGCCATGGGGGATTACAGGAGTTCGCGATTCCTGGTCATCCCTTTTGTCTTTCTTTCGCACCATTCACGGAACCGCGACTTCCTGGCAGTGGCAGTGTACTAGTATGTATAGACCCCCAAATAGATAGAAGTTCGTAGATCCCCATGTAGAACGTGTAAGACAGGAAACCGTGCGTAGATCCCCTTATATGATAGGGGGCCACGACGAGAGGATTTACACATGTCCATCGGTTTTGTTTTGTGGGCGTGCTGGTGAAGAGACGGCGCGCCCAGGCCATCAGGTGCATGGCCTTTTGCCTGGTGTCCGGTATCAGTTCCAGGCAGGTGCAGACACCAATTGGTTGCCGTTTTGGTGGGGACGACTGTCGGGTGTGCTTGGACAAAATTGACAAAAGAAAGCAGTGTTACTCGTGGTAAACATGGACATTTGCTTGCCTTTCACTTGTGCGCTTTAGTTTGTCAAGAAGATCGCGGACATCATCTGCCCGCTCTACAATTAATTCCCAACTCTTTCTTCTTGTATTCCGCCTTTCTTCAACTTGCCATGTTTGGACTCTGGACTTTCACCCTCAAGCGCCAATCCCTCTGTTTGGTCCCCAGGTGCACGCCTTTTCCAAGTCCAAGCGTGGGAGCTTCGTCGACAACTCGCCCCGTGCCGGCGGCAGCGCCGCGATGGCGGCGGCGACTACTGCGGCGCCGGAGGGGTTGGAATCCTTGGCCTCGCCGGGTGTCGAGGCACGAACTGAGGAAGTCGAGCTACATGGACCAAACCTCTAGGTTTTGACCCATCCCATCCCATCCCCAAATAAAGCTACGTACTTTGGCTCTGACATTTGAATGTCTCCAGATATCACGTTCAGCAAAAGTCACCAGAAGTCTCCGATAAAGGAGACCCAACATTTCAAGGTGGTCACGATGAAAGGTCGACCCAACACCATCTCCTGGACCATACTTCCACTGGCAGTCTTTTGCCAGTTTGATCCACATCGCTGTATTGCTATAATTGGTACAGGTTTTTGTTGATCAGCTGTATAGTGCAGAAGAAACTCTTGTTCTTTGATTGATACAGCTAGGCTTCCAAGCATGCCAACCATCGACAACGTTGTCGAGCGCTCCTTTTTTAAATTTAAGTCATTGCTGAATGAACTTGCTGCAGCAACGCAACCTACAGATACATATGATACATTGATATATCGATATTACCTCATGCTTCATCAACAACAGTATCACGCCATCGGTGCGGCCACCAACATCAATGAACCAAACGCCCCACAAATACCTCCAAACCGCCAGCACCCCAAAACCCGGCGCGCAACACACGGCGCGGCCGCGCGGCCGTAGAGGTCACCATGCCGGAGCGCCCGGCCCCACCGCGGCCAAGCCACGCCATCCTGGTGGAGCGAGGCCTCGGGGGATCCTTCACCCTACGCTGGGCCGCTAGGAGCGAAGTCGGCGGAAGGAGCCGGGTGGTGTTTGGATCCTTTTTTCGGGCGGTGTGTTTGGGAGGGAGGGGTACCCAATGAAGGGTAGAAAGGACTAGAGGCGGATTTGGAAGCAGACGCAATTATAGATGTTCTACCAGCACCCGATTCTTACAGTTCACCGAAATGGAGGTTTTTGGTGACTTAAAGGTGGCAGGTATCCCTTTTGTTTTGAAGAGTACTTGGACTCTTGGGGCAGGAGGGCACCCGAAGGTGAGGATGGTGAGGGCTGGGGGTTTGGGGAAGAAGGTCCAAACGAACGATCCACTAGTGGAAGCCAAAGAGATTGAATCCTATATTCATTATCCATCAGACCATATCCAACCTATACCAACCGTTTCAAAGACCCTGACAATGCAGCTTGGGACCCTGAAAAGGATTAGTGCGGATCCAAAGCGATCTCCACCGCGTTGGGCTGAGGCAGAGCATGAGTCGGGCGGCGGTGGCCAGAACGCTTGGGGATATGAGGTCTTTTGGACGGTGCCGCAAGACGATGAGGAGCCACCGGGAGAGTTGGCCTAATAATACATACCATTACATACCCCTAAATAGATAGAAAAGTATATAGATCCCCACTAAAAATGTATTGGACACCGTTTCTATCTGCTTGCGGACCGCTATAAAGGTGTCTCTCTTCAGTCCTAAAGTGCCTAAAGTTACACCACTGTAGATGATTTGATGAATTTGATGAATTAAACCTCGATACCTACAGTAAACTTTACTTCGACCATGTTTTGGGGATTCTTATTCATCAACCTTTATCATTGGACGTTTATTATCGTTTATGTACTGTATTGTTAATTGTTTTGTGTACAAGCCTAAGGGCCTAGCTGCCCTAGAAACATAGTAATAGTTTACTATTGTAATTACAGTGTTGCTATAATTATAACTATCAAGCCCTGCGTCCAATAATACCTTCTGGTTAGCATCCATTGTTCCACAATCCTAAACACCTCTCTAGCAAAATTATGTCATTTTCCCTTATTAGAACTCTGTCAAAATCTTAACGTGTTCTAGCTCACAAGGGGTACCCCTCTCACAGGCCTCAGTGTTCACACAGAATCATCTCATCTCATCATCCATCATCAGGTCATCATCTTTATTAAGGGGATGTGGTCTCCAATCCCTCCAATCTCAACCCTTGCTGACCTCGTTGATGTTGAAGGGAGGGGGGGTTGATTAATCTGGTGTTGGTATTACATCTTTTGACCCCTGTACTTCCTGGGACGGTAAGCCTCGCTCGGCAGGAGCCGGAAACGGCCCAGAAGCACGTGGACCATGAGGACGCCTTTGCACCCGGCGAGAAGAGCCTCGTGTGGCGCTATCCGGGGCCAGTCTTCTTCCGAAAGCCCGGGGACGGCACCGTGGAAGGACCGGGGACGGCACCGTTGGTTTTGGGGGAGTAGATTTCATGCTGTTTGGTCGGAGAACAGTTTGTTGCTTGTTTTCTTTTTACTATAAGCTGGGTGTTTGCCGCTACATTATGGCCTTACCATGTGTGTTGCGTGCTCAAAGTGACCACCTGGTGGTTACCTGACTTGGTAGTCCCACCTGGCCCAGGGCCGACACTCAGCTGGGTGTTTAAACCACGTGGGTCGCCATCCAACACCCAGGCCTGAGAACCTTAGAAGTGAATTATTGCAACCTTCAGAAGACACATCCATGAATTAGTTTGAGCCGATTTGGAGATCTACAGTATGCTTTAGCTGAGCTCCTTGTCTCCTTTCTTTGCAGCGGCAGCCAAAGAACTGAAGGACTTTTACATCCTCCAGAAGCAGATGCTGTCCCCCTTGATGAGGTTAGCAGGGTGGAGAGCATGCTTCGGCGTTCTCTTTTTCTTTGATGTGGGTATACTTCAAATACTGGGTTTGTCTGAACAAGAGTGGACCAGTTTTTACCAATAGTTTTCATCGTTGGTTGTTTGTACAAGGGGTCTTTGGGAAGAACCAAACAAGTTGGAGCTTGATTGGTCAACATCCCCGAGTGCCAAACCATTGAGGGCGAGTTGAATAGTATCCACAAGAGCATGTCCAAGGGTTAAAGTCCAGGAATTGCTGTTGGAAAGAAAAGAAGGAGGATTATAAAGATATCTATCCACACAAAAAGCTTCTTGTAAAAAAACTATTGCACCCCCAAACAATTCCAAGGTCCAAGTAGAAGGAATGATTTCTCGGAGGAATGCAGTGTGTAAGGGGGAAATCCTTATTGCACTCCTTTTAAAGACTCATGGAAGTGGAAGACCACCTATTTGGTATTCCAAAACTGGTCATCAAGGGACCATCTTCCAAATCCATTCGTATGTGCTTTGTGATGTCGTTCGAAGATTCCTGGGATTCCCTTTGAAGAATCCACACCAACACATCCAAACTACGCATCGCCTCTCCACTTCACACTTCTTGTCCCTTCTTTCCACATCACTCCTTCCATGCCACTCATGGTTCATCCGCCCTCCTGTTGTGCATTCTCCAACACTAAGCCTTGACTCTCCGCGGACTCGGTGAAATCCCCTCCGCAGGTGAGCTTCTGCGTGCGCGCGGTGGACCCCTTCAGCAGCGGGGTGACCTCGCCTATGGGCGACCTGGGACCAGCGGTGCCGTTGCCCAGCGCGGCGGAGGCGATCCTCCGGGAGGCGGAGGCCATGAAGCTCATCGGAGAAGGAGAGGGGGTGGAGAGGGGAGCACCAGGGGGTGGGGTGGAGAGAGGGTGGAAGGAAAGAAGGAGAGCGGTAGAGAGGGGGGGCCCAGCCCAAGAACGGCTTTGAATGGTTTAGAGGATGGAGACGTAGATGATGAAAAATAGAGTGGTACTATTGAATTAGTATTAGGTGTCGTCGCTGCAGGTGTTTCCGGAGGGGCAGGGGAGGTGGTGAGGTGAATTGGAAGAACAAATTGAACATGGGAAGATCGAAAGATCTAGACCTCGACTGGGGGAGGTTTCAACATGTGAGAGAAAAGTTTTAGGATGTCATGGTGATGACCCTTGTGGGTGAACAGCTTGCAATTGCTTTTTTTCTCACCTGCGGAACTGGCTGAGACGGATAAGGAAGATCCAATATGACCTGAATATTCTGAATATCCCTTTGGTCAAAGGCATGGCTGTATTGAAATCCTGCAGCATTTTTTTGAAGGTGAGACGTCCGCCCAAATCCTTGAATCAGGGTCTTGATCTCAGAAAGCATGGCAACTTACACTCGGGAGGAGACCCACATGGAACCTGATGGCATGGACCTTTTGGAAGACTTGCTTCCTCCATAATCCAGTCCATGATCCTGAGATGCAACCTTCAGGAAGGAATGGATTTTGGAATGGATCCATGGTTCATAAGATCTCCAAAAAGGACGACTGGATCCTGGACCCTCTGGAAACCTCTTGGACTTCCCCCCCATTCCAACACCATGCTGATGAGTGCAGGAGCTGTGCGTGCCGGTGGCTTCAAGCGCTTTTTGGAGGAGGCAGAGGATGCAGGCACTTGCGGACGACCTTTCAGTCAGCTAGGAGAGATCCAGGTCCCCATGTCTCTGTGACAGGGTTCTAACACCAGTGATTTGTTGTATGGATCCGCTGCCAGTAAAAAGCATCAGATTTTGGGTTGTGACAAAAATCATCAAAAACCTAATTGCTTGCTTTGTTTTAATTAGGCCATGTCTTTCTGGACAGAGTTAAATGAATAAGAAAATGCATAGACCTAGGCCTAACATTGTTTTTGATTGGTTTGATTTGAAGTTAGCTAGTCAGCTAGCCGGGACACCCGAGTTGAAGGAATTTCATATTTGCTTAATTATAACTTACTTTGAGTCCTGAAATAGCACACACTCCTTGTCTCCCATATAACGCTAACAACTGGTTGATTAGTCGTATTTTGTTGGCAACCCTCAACTCTTCCAACTGAGTCAAACTGGGCTGTAAAGACATGTAAGGACAACCTCCAGACACAGGCTATAGCTACAGCTACTGCTTGTAGCTATGGCTCCTCTCATTTTTGATGCTCTCTCATGGCCACGGAGGCCTCATTGGTACTGGGTCCTCCAGTGAGTTGGACTTGAGACGGGTGCTCTACAAGAAGGTCGAGGAAGCTGGTGGCTTGAAGGAGATGCTTGGTCACAAGGCATCATCCTCGTTTGCTTGGGATAAAAACAACAACATGCGGTTTTAGATGGTTTTATAGATGGTTTAGAGTCTTTGTTGGCATGGTTTGCGCCTGTAGTACAGGATCAACGCCAAGCAAGTTTGGGTTTTGATTGGGATCTTCTTTTGCAGAGAACCCAGGCAAAGGCCACCTTGGAAAGACTGACAAGTGACATTTTGAAATTATGTCCACTTAAGAATCATTGGCTTGAAAAAATCACATAAACAATACAACCATAACATGTAAGAGATGCCTAAATTCGAGACAATTTGAGTTTAAAGTTTAAATACTTCTGCCCTGGTCCGCTCCCCTAGTTGGCTATGGCTATTATGTGGACTGCATCATTTGGATGGTTTAAGGGTACAACAAGTTTGGTGGTGTTGCAGCCCATCAAGTTTCGCTTCATGATTCGCTGTATGCAGATCATTTTTGCGGCTTGGGATGATGTTCTCCGACAAAATCCTGAGAGTACTCTGTCGGTCCCGCTATCCGTGAAAAAGTCACGCTTCGACCAACTTAGCAGCTGACCTCGGATGCAAGTGATCTGGAAACCCCGGCGCTTGCTGGAGGTCATCATTCCCCAACAAAGAGCCCAAACATCCATTCTAGTACTTGCTCAAGATCCACGGACATAGAGGAGTACCCCTTGCCATCAGAACACGGAGCGAGGAGATGGGGGGTATTAGACTGTATTAGCCAAACTTCTAGATTTGATCTCCAATCGTTTTTTTGATGAGATGGAAAGGACGCTACTAGGTGGAGGCCATTGCTATTAGGTTGGAGGCCATCGCTACTATAGTAACAAGAAGCTACTCTAGATAGATGGAATGTTATCAATTGATCACTGTTCTCACTGGTCCAGACCATCTGATGCAGTCTCGTGTGACTGAGGGTCATTGAAGCGATGACCGATCTTCAGATGAAAAGCTTTAAGGACCGGACGCTGACAGAGAAGGCAGTGGCAGAGGCTGACTGTGCAGGTGAGTGTGTATTTGAATAGGGAGATCCCCGAGTCCAAGAGTCCTCTCCGAACCGCAACGACCGGGGCGGGGCGTTAAATAGGGACGTCTCCCTATTTGAACCACGCCATGGGATGTAGACTCCAGACTTGCCCAGACTCCATTGATGGCTCCCAACTGTTGGGGACCCAGGTGGACTGGTCGAATTGGACTCCCTCATCCGGACGCGGCAAGGGGTGCAAAGCTTCTGAGAGAGGCGTCGTTATTTGCGTCCCAACGCAATCCCAACGCAATCCCTTGCATCCTTCAGAAACTCCAAGCGAACTGATCCATTTTGTGGAGTCACGCCGAATTTCGCATGAATCTCCCTAGTTCGCCACTCACCCAACTGTGAGTCTACAGTGATCCATGTTTGGCTTGGTATTTCAAAGCTCTTGAATCTTCAAGAAGGGAATTCGCACTTGGCTGGAGCGATTCAGGCTATAAAAGCTTTAGTGATACTAGGATAAATTCTCTACTGCGTATAGTCTATAGGTTCCCATAGGGTTCCCATCATTCACAATATTCACAAGTTGCAAGGCTTGAATATGTCGGCCGCCCTCCATAGACTTCCGGATGTCGAGATGTCAACCAGGGTTCCGGGCTTGACAACCCCCATACCCATCTCTGACTTCAGCTTCACACAGTTCCTGACCTCGTTTCACCAACATCTCATTGCCTCAGAACATCTCAGAACTTGTAACTTGCTTCGTTCATTTCCACCATCCGGAGCTCGTCTCCGTGACCGCCATCCAGAGCCGGCCGCGCAGGATGCCTGCGAGATCGTCAAGGCGATCCAAGAGAGTGCCCTTGGTCGCCAGCTCGGGCGAAGAGATCGAAGTCCCAGATTGATGTAGTTCATGTTATTTTATGTTATTTTGATTTATTTTGTATGAACGGGGTGATGTTGTGAAGACTACCAGAAAAGAAGACCAAAGCCCCATTGGGCCATTCTGGGGGATCTTGACTGGGTTTGTTCCACTTCCATGTTGATTTCAAGTCAATGCTTTAAAGGGATAAAGTCCTGCTTTCTTTTCGGCAAATTGACATTTGCTGCATCGAAGCCCAATAGACCACCTTGGCATGTCCAGCTTTCGGACAGTCCAAAGACCCTCCTGGTCAAAGCAAAACAGGAGGCTTAAGGCTTCAACAAACACAGACTGAGAGAGAGGGAGAGAAAGATGGCAAGTCGGTTTCTCAGGTTCCTAGGGTTGAGCCGAACGCCCATGTCGGATCAAGCTGATGGTCGCAAGTCCCAGGCGTTCCAACACATCGCCGCCGGGTAGCGACCATGTCGGTGAAGCCGACCTTCTCTCAAGAAAGCTCGATTGTCGGGATTGCTCATGGGAGTGATGAGATTTCTTGCGACAGTAGAGAGGAATCCGAGATGTTTTCATGTGAAGTTGCGAGGAAAGAAAGCGAGAGCTCCATTTCCGAAGAGGCTACCCAGGTCAGGATGACGTCAACCCAGTCGCTCACGTTGCCTGCACAGTTGCTAGACCTGGTGCTTGCAATGAAGCTGACCCGACCCGACATCTTGCGAGTGACGCCCGCCTATTGCGCCCTTCGGAAGCCTGGCTAATGTTTAGTAGCTGTTTCTTCCTCTGTCCAATCAACGGGTTGGAGTGGTGGGATTTGGGTGTGTGTTAAAGTAGGAAGACCCCTAAAGACCACCTGGAAGAAGGAAAACATACCAAAATCAATTGGTTGGCAGGGCCCCCCTATATTAATAGAATACACACCAATTTCTGTCTTAAAGAGGCATACAGTGGCCGCTCAATCGCGACATAGACGGAGATCACTGACGATGCCATTCCGGCCTACTATCCGCCCAGACCATCCATGGGACTAGCATAAACCTACTTTAGACCCCTGGAACCAGGTCCCACGGAGTGTTTGGGATGGGAGCCGAGTATGTATCGAACACGACTGGAAATCCTACCGCGCCCACGGCTTTCAGCCAAATCCCAGGGCCGGTGCCATTGCCTTCCAGTCAGCATCCAACGTTGATCTGCACCAGCAGAGCTTTGTGAGCCACAGAATCAGACGATTTTGGTCCCACTCTTGGCATGGTGACCTGGGCACCGTTGAGGACATGGTTTATATTTAAGACATATTACCCTCCCTGCAACGAATATGGAACTGGACAACCCCTGTTTGTAGAGGAAAAAGGTCTCTCCAGATTTTGAGGGGTGATTGTCCACTTCCATGATTGTTGCAGGGATGATATATATATATATACATATACACATTAAAATCGTGTTTGTTCAGCAACTTGACGCGCGGGGCTCGGACGAACGCCCAGAAATGGGGCGATTGGGAGGTTCGGTTTTGGAGCTACAAATTCCACCATGTTCACCTCCTGCACAGTGCCGACACTCCAAGCACTTTGTTCGGGGACACCTAAGGAGACCGCTTCAAGAAATATCTCACCGTGCTGGTGCTCTACAAAGGCACACCTGCCATCTTTGTGGGTTCCTTCATGGCTTTACTTCCTATGGTCCTCTTTCCGCTGCTGCCCGACATGCCTGGAATTGCCGGATTTGCAGACATGCGGTTTTCTCCTTGGTCTGTATGCATTGGCGTTACCTTCACCATCTTGATGTTTCTTCTTTGGAAGCCACATCAGCAGGTCTTCTTCGATCAGATTTGCATCAACCAGAAAGACAGGAGGCTGAAGATGGAGGCGATTCTGAGCCTCTCAGGTCTATTGAAGAGATCAGAGGAGATGTTTGTTCTGTGGGATTCGACGTGGACACAGAGATTGTGGTGTTTATTTGAACTCGCTGCCTTTATGAAAAGTAAGGATTCATCTGGCAGCGTTCAAATCCTCACCATCCGACCTACGTTCATTGGCCCTTGCATGACGGTCATTTTCCTCATGTCTTTCTTGGCGGTGCTTCCACTGGTCTTCTTGAGAGGAGAGAACATGGATCTTATGATGCTCACTGCTGGAGCGATATTGCTCGCTTGCGTGTTGCCTGCGCTGGTGGCTAGTATGGCCTTCAGGAGACAAAGACGTAGAAAACACACCAACAAGCAATTCACTTGTTGACAAGGAATAGATCGTGAATGGTTCCTTAATCATTTTTCCGTAGTAATTGTATATATATATACATACATACATACGTACAGGTTACGTGCATAAAACAAAAGTCTGTATATAATACGACGTATAACTTGAAATAATATGAAATAATTGGACATCCCAGCATCTCCTCGTGGTTAAAGTTTACTTGCGCTCCTTTGGTGGCTCAGGAGTTATTTTCGCTCCGTGGATGTTCTTGAAGATCAGCTACGTACGGCCAATTTGGATGAAGCACGATGCAGCTGCTGCGACTGTGGGCATGTGTCGCAAGATGGGCAATCTATGATTTGCGATCGAGTGGTGGTGAAGGAGTGCATCAAGATTTGGTTTGGAAACCAGGAAGCCTTTGAGACGTGTCTCCACTCTGAGGTGTTGGATACCTTGTCGTCAAAGTTGCGCTATGGTTTCTTTACCAAGAAGTACTGCCTGGCCATGACCATGCCAATCCTTTGGGCCTTCATGGACATCTCTGCATCTTGGGCAGCGCATGCCTGGTGGGATTTTTCAGTGGAATGGCTTCTCGCTGGACTTACCGTTTCTCACTTTGGCCAAAAAATACTTATCCTTTTGACCTTTTGCCCTCCGGCTTTCTCAGTGTTGAAGTGTTGTTCCACGTAGGCGAAGCCCATTCTGCATGTCCGGAAGGAATTGTGCATGTTTTTTGTTCTGGATGTGGCCCCGCGAGGTCTGGTTCATTTGGATCCCTTTGGCTTTTGAGTGGTTCGTGTATTTAGCACACCAACATCGGCAAAAGGCCAGCACTTGTTGCCGCGACCTGCTGCGAAGCATCATGGTCATCCTTTTGGCAGCACCTATGATAGTCATTCTCGCAGCAATCTTTGTGGGTCACGCTGTTTTGGTTTCAAAATTGTGGGAACTCTATGGACCTCACCATCGTTACTTGGCCTCCTTAGATTTGGCCTTTGCGGTGCTTTTTGCGGCTGCGCTTCTAGGGTTGCTGTTCCAAGCGATGCCGGCTGCTCGGTTTTCGCGTGGTCCACGTGAGAGTCACGGTGAGACTACCGAATCCTGAGCGTCCACCGCAAGAGAAAATCAAGTACAGTACGTGTCCAACGCCATGCTGGCCTTTGCATGAAGAAGCCCATACTGGTCTCTACTTTTTAACGGTTTTGATAGCAAATTGGAGAGGATCTGGCAGGGTGCCAGGGTCGTACAACCAGGCTTCAGACACACAACGGCGGTGCCCCAAGATAGTATATCCTGGTACATCCTGGTACGCAGTTATTACTGATACAGTTCTCAATTGACCACCTACTTCATGCAAATTAGATAGGCCAACTCGTCCAACCTCCATTATGGTCTGAACCATCATGAGAGATATATGAACACCTCTATGAATCCCACCTATGAGGGTACCTTTCTGAAACACCCCAAATGTATATCAGAGATGCTTCGATTTGGGGTCTACACTTACTCGCCACCGTTGGGCGCTCCTTCAGCGACGGTGGAAGGTACAGAGCTCACCTCCGAAGAGACACCCAGCTGGACGCAGGTCGTACGCCTGGTGGCGGAGGCGCATCTTAGGGACGACCGGAGACAGAACGGAGGAGGGCTGATTTTAAGCACTCGAAAAAGAGTGAAGTTGGATGCCACGGAGAGATGAGCCGCAGTTGTTTATGGAGATTCCATGATTTACACCAAACAAAGTCAGAGAGTAGGTCTCAAAACTGGACTCTTGAACCACTGTGTGTCATGTGTTGTTCCAAGTGTTTACCAGAGAGGTCCTCATTTTTTTGTTGTTTATTGAGACATAGATCTCTGAGCGTAACTCACCATTCTTTCGTTTGTGCATGTGGTTCGATGAACAAATGGTCTTAGGTATGGAAAGGTATGGGTTACCATGAAAAAAAAACAATAAAAGGCAGATGTTCAACAATGAGTGAAGACAATGATACATGTAGATATCCATTTGGGGTTATGCCATGGACCTGGCTGCGGCCCACGCAGCAGGGAAAATCCGATCATTCCTGATCATGTGAGTGGCAAATCTTGTTCTCCTTTCCAATCTGTGCCCAGCATTTGGGTCTGGACCCCATGAGCTCGTCGGGTGTAACCTGTGCCCCTTGGGCAAAACAGAATGAAAAAGGACGAAAAGGCCCCGTGAAAACCCAAAGATGCCCATGAACCACACCAAGCGGACGAAGCAATTGAGCACTTCCTGGACAGCCGCCATCCGCTCCCATCCAGCTGAATACGTGGCTATATAGTCAAAAGGAAGATCGAATTTAATGCTTTACACATTTTCCCAGAGAGGTTAAGTGACCTTTATGGAACCATTCTCGGGTCCCTATGAGTCTATAAGGTTCTTCAACCTTTGTGGGTTCTGGTTCTGTGTTAGTTGTTCAGGATGTAGTTTCTGGATGTTTCTGGTCATGTCCATCTTTGGAGAATCAGGCTCTCAAAGCAGTGTGCTTGCGATGACCAGGCGTGTTGACAGTTCGCACGTTATTCAGCAGTATGAACTTGTGGCCAACATTTGTTAATGCTTCTAACTGCTAGCTTCTACAATCAAAGGACCTTTATGGCAACCTCTCAGCTTCCAGAGTACTGAAATAATTTCCCACAGCCAGTCACAATTATTGTTTTCACCCTATCCCACTGTGCCAGATTCTAAGAACATTCCACAACTCCAGCAGCACATATATACCTCGTAGAATCCACCCCCGCCCCAAAATTTCGGAGTTCACTCACCATGTTGGAAGAACCGGTTGGTGTTGGGTGCCCCAACATGTGGTTCTCGCGTCCGAGTCGCTGTGGGCCGACAGGCCGGTGGCGCCAAGAGCTTCAGTAGGAGTTTGTCCAGCGTCGAGCTCAAGGAGACGGTGGGTCTAGACTGTGGGTCTCAGACTGTGGACCCAGTGGGTACGAGGAGACTCGTTTGGAGAGTAGGTACGACCATAGTGGGGGTCCCTACAAAAACTTCTGAGGGTCCCGAGTGGGTAGGTTTAGCAGATTTCATTGATCAAAGCTGCAAGAGATTCAGAATTGCTTCTCTACATGTTCCGTACCGGTGCTTCATGGGCTCTATCTTTTAAAAGCAACCAACTACTTGGGTTTTGCATGTTGGCATACCAGTTGACACCGCCTCCCTAAGGGGCTATGTTTCACTACATAGGTCAATACCAGTTGACATGTGGTTACGTCTGGTTCGAGCCACTTGTTGGGTCTAGTGACCTCTCCCAGTAGCCGATTACTTAGGAGAGGCCAGGCATGGCACACGGTGTGGCTTAGGTGTTGTTCTCGTGTCGCTGCGACGGTTGCCCAACATCGGTCACGGCTACGGCAGGAATCCGTTGGAATTCCCCAATCCTCCAGAAACCATGGAGTGTCCATGTGGGGCGCCGAGCGTTTTCTTGCGCCGTCCATGTTGGGCGACGGACCGAAGGTGTAGGGTCCAGTCGGCGGCAGCGAGCTGGGGATGCTGATGGGACCGAGGGATCTTCCTGTGTTATTTTGGAGCATAAATAGTATCCCATAGGGCTCCTGGCCCCTATCCTCAGGTTCGGTGGTTAGATCCTGCACCCATCCCAACCACCGAACCTAGGGATCAATCATGAACAATCATGAACAATCTAAATCCCAAAATTCGGATCCGCTGAGCTGTCCCGAGTCCAACCGCGTCGTGAGGAAGTGTTGGGAAACACTCAGCGCCTAGCAGCCCTGGGCATTTTTCAAGGCCGGCAGTGGGCAGTGCCACTGGGGAATTGGATTGGTTGAATTGAATTGGAATCACTTTGAATTCAGATCTATATTTGGACTCAAGTTTTTCTCTAACTTTGTAACACCCAGCTAGGCATCGGCATATGTGAAGCCTTTTGCTATACCTTCCTCAGCTTGGTCGACTACTGAAAGTCACGGAAAGTCATGCTTTCGTTTGGCTGGCTATGGGTTCATAAGAGGACCTGAGTCAGCCTGCCAAGACGAAGCGATCCAATGCAGTGCAGCCAATCAACTTCAAAACTCGTTAGGGGAAGCACAAGTGCAACAACACCATCATGTGTATCCCAAGCTTTCCATGCATGGAACAAATGCCTACATTGACCCCCCCAAACCACCCCAATATAAGCTATAATCTGGCAGTCCCATGGAGTGTTTGGGTATGTTTTTCTTGGTTGCTCCTTGGTAGCTTTCCCATTTCGTCATGACTCCCCCCCCCAGTTCTTTGTGACATCCCTGCCGCACCAGGAAAGTCGGAGGATCATTCGTTGCGTGACGCCCTCTTCAACGAAGACACGGAGAAGCAGATGCCGCAGCTCTTCAGCAAGATCCAGGACGTGCATCTGCACACTCTCATGGGACGTTGGCACCGCAAAAGCAGGTGACGTTTGCCTTCACTGATGCCTTCACGCGAACTGGCGGAATACATCGCCCCTGTAGCACCTGGTTCTTCAAAGCGACCGAACTTGATATCCCAGTTTGAGGTCATGAACGGGCCTGGAAAAGGTCACTGGTTGGCACTCCAAAGAGGTCACGAACTGAAGAAGCTGGGCATGGATGACGATGTTGAGGCGTCGCCTTCGACATTCAACTCACCCAGCTCACCCATCTAACCCAACTCGCCTCAAGCGACTTGACCATGAACTCATCCAACCCAACTTCATCCATCTCCAGGAGGCGCTCAGTGGGTTAGCCTTGGATGAACGTCAAGTCGCCGACCTCTCCAAAGCTCTAGGGATCATGGCCCGCAGCGGCGGCAAGGTGAGACCCGGACTGACCTGGGGCGGGGAGACCGACTCCGGTGTTAGCGAATGTCATGTGGGCGCCCTGGGGCGCCCTGGGCTGCTTGCCTCTCTTCAAACTAGAGCGGTTCAGATGAAGCAGAGGTTTCCTTTGTGGAACTGGGGCTGTGTCCCCAAGTGACTAAACCGATGTATCCCATCGAACCGATGTATCTCGTCCTTTACAACTTCACTTGCTTTAAATGGAAAGGAACACAAAGAAACCAATCGCACGAACTGATGCATGAACTGAGGCTTCCAATGGCTACACCAACTAACCCCCCACACCGTCCGACTTGACGCTGACGCAGAAAACATCACCAGGTCAGCTGGACCGATCTGGTGGATGTCATTGTGGAGCAAGAGGGCGGCCCCGCCCCCGTGCAGCCGTTGGTGAAGTACTGCGAAGGCGAAGTACTTCGTGAACGGACTATGCGTGCGGGACGGGACGTCCCGAGTGTGCGTTCTCAGCGTCCAGGGTCCAGGACCGAGAGCGTGAGAGAACACCCGGTGTCCCACAAAGAAGCACATGGTACGGTCACGAAGATTTCACCGGGACGAGAGCGTGCTGAGCCGGTTGGAGAGTGTTGGAGCAGGGAGATCAGCCCCGAAAGGTTCGGATGGAGTCGATGATGAACATTTTATGGTGATGTGGATTCTGGATGGACCTGATGTGTTGCTTGGAAGATAAAGGACACCAATAATCAGTACAGTGGGGGGCATGGTTTTAGGATGTGTTGTGGTGAATGTTTGGGATGTTTACTATGTTCAATCATTCTGTTAAGTAGGAGTGCCCTGCAGTCAGAGATCGCAGGAAATCAGATTGTTGGCGTTTCTTTCCCGTGAGTTTGCTGTTTATTGGTTGATCATCAATGACGAAGTTGGTTGATTTGTCGCCTGAAAGCAGCTCAGCCCTTGTGTTCCTTCGTTTTATGCCTTTCAAGATGTGTTTGGAGACTCCTATAGTACATCACTCGTGTACAAACACAGAGCGACACGTGGCAGGCCATGCAAAAGATTTGCACTCTGCGCTGAAGGGGAGTCTCATGGACGTTCGAGCCCAAGACGTGGGTGTTGCGCCGGCACCGTTCAATGCCGAGTGGATCCGTGTGCACTCATGTGCAGTCCAAAAAAAGACAGCGCCTTGACGGTCCACAACAACATCCCAGAGAAGGGTGAGGAAAGTTGGGGATCATTTTGAGGCTTCTTCTTCCCAGGGAGGCATGACGAATGAGGAGTTTGTTTGCAACAGGCAAGAAAACACAAAGCTTATACAAACTTGCAATATATCCTCAAATCTTTGTGTGTTAATTAGATGTCCTCCTTCCTTATCTTCCTTTGCCTTCCTTCGTTTGCCTTCTTTTCAGACATGTGTTGACCCACACCAGTGTGGAAGACCACCCGTAGCCATCAATCTATCTCAGCTGTGCGCAGGCGGAAGGAATGATCAGCTTCCTGAAGACGGCAGGCGCGACGCTTCCTCGACCGCATTTGATGATGGGGACGAGGAAGCGAGCGGATCACCGGTGGATGATGGACCTCAGGGCGAGCAGATCTGGGTGCAACGTGGGAGTGCAAAGTACAAGTCTTGCAGGGGGAACACCAGCGTCAACAGCGCAGCATTCTTGGTTAGAAAGGGACTTGGCTTTTTGCCGCTTAGGTGTCTCAAGCTAGAAGAACAGTTGCGGAGCAATGCAGAGCACATCCACAAGGAGGGTCCACCGGTGGCCTTTGGTCTTGTGGCAAGAGATGTCCTGCAAGGGGTGTACTAAGGTTGCGAAGAGAACCCCTACGGTCGATCTGTGAGTTAAGTCACTGAGACAGCGCTGCTTTTGGAAAGTGAAGCTACTTGCAGGTAGAAGATGTTTTGCAAAGCTGACCTTCCCACGAACAGAAATAACTCTGGCAACTTCGCACAAAAAGGGTGAATTCATCACAATAAGAGACAATTAGTGTTGAGACCCAACAAGTCTGGTACGAGGCCAAATCATTGATTTTTGTTTTTTTTTTTTCATTGCACTTTATATTTTAACGAAACCAATACAGCCAAATTTATGAAATAACTTTAAAATAAATAACTTGGACATGTGAACAAACCATAATATGTCTTTTCATACTATGTTTCATACGTTGTTCCATAATTGTTGATAAAATGTTCATAACAACTATCATATGTTTATCACAATGTATGAAAGCATAATGTTGTTGTTTATCATTAATGAAAACCATATGAAAAGTGGTATGATTTGTTAAATTAATTCAGGTCTGTTGGTATGTTTATATATAAACAATAACAATAATAACAATTATTATGAAACATTGTATGAAACAAACATGTTTTGTTCACAGGTCCAAGTTATTTTTACTTGTTTTTAATGATTTAATAAATTTGGTTGTATTGGTTTTCATTTCCAACACATACAAAAAAGGATCTATGTTGAAGTGTTTAGTTTGTACCAACTTGCTGGATTTTAAAATTAGTTAGTGTCCCAAAAGATTCCCAAACAAGTAGTTTTACAGCAGAATGAGATCGAATAATGGAAGGACTCCCGCATCATCATCATGTGTCATGTGCTTAAAACGACCAAACTGGCAAGAATCAGATGAATCATTAGCTCGACGCTACGGTGACCCCACTATTTTTTTTTTGTCAAAGGGCTCATTTTGCTGGAAATGGTCACATAAAGACATTACTCAATGAGGTAAAAGACCAGGTTTTGCTGGGTCTTTGGACCCTAATAGGGTACGGTATGATGCTTCTTTTGACTATGAGCTTCTCTGGTTTTTCCTAGCTGCTCCGACCGCTTCAGGCGAAGCAGAGTTCATCGGGCATGCCGCTGATGCCGCGGGGCGCGAGGACCGTTTTGCGGTCACCGTGTTTTTCGCCGGAGAACGGCGGAGAACGGGAGAGAGACCCTCTGGCACCGGAGTTTTTTGAGAAAGCGACTTCGGCCCCGGCGGTTGGCTATGAGATATATATGAAACAGGTTGAAACAGATTGGCTTATCACGTGTCGTTATGTGTGTTATGTGATGACGTTGTGATACGAATTTCCCAGCGTTGCAAGGGCACCACCCTGCCAAAAGAACTAGGTAGCTGGCATCAGCTATACCTATTAAATATAGCCTTTCATACAATGGTGCCGTAGGTTGTTGACCGTTTTGGAGGGTCTGAAGTTTCTGACGTGCTTGCCGCACTTGTTGTCCCTGAAAAAAGCACTGACTGCATGCGGGCGAACAGAGTTTGAAGGGCACTCCCAAACTGTTTTGGACTTTGAGCACTTGTTTTGATCATTTCAGTCAGTGGCGGGATGCTCAAATAAGACCATGACCTTGGCTGACCTGACTGATGGGGGGCCATTTTTTCCACCCTCCACCCTCCCAGCCAGGTGCGGATGGGGAGGCTTCCGGAAGACCCTTTGGGTATCCCAGACTGTTGGGAGGACTTCCTCACCAGACTCTCTGAAGCTGGTGGAGCTTCAGTGGGGAGGCCCAGGTTCACACTGGTGCTCGTAGCACACGGCGGCACGATGCACACGTGGGCAGCAAGACGTCCAGGTGGAGCCCGAGCAGCAATGTTTACATGCATACTGGCACAAGGTAGCTTGAGCACCCGACCAGAGCTGTATTGAAGTTGTTTTTTGGAAGAAAGACAATTCTTAGGTAGAAAAGCCTACGTATAGACCTGTTGCCAGAATTAGCCGCGCCCTTCATTCACGATTGTAACACTAAATGTCCTTCCATGGATTTTGTCAGGTCCTTTATTCCTCACTGAAAGAAATTGATTTGAAGGCGCGTGGGGACACCGCGCTCCTTCGACCGTGGCAGCCACTCAGCAGTCGACCGTGCGCCCCAGACGTTTGGGCATTGCAAGAAAGAATGCTTGAAGACATGAACTTCACAGAACATAGCAAGACATTTTATATGTGTTTTTTGATGCCACGTGTTCTTGTTGGTGGTTGACTAGGAGCCTGAGCGGCCTCCATTTTAAAGCAGAGCATAAGGCCTCTAAATGGAATCACGGGCTGGGGTGCCCTTCTGACGATGATCGGATTGTCGTGGCAGGATGCGGTGATTCAGCCCTGTCTTTTCAGGAAGAAACGCAGGATGGCTGGTGTTTTTTCCTCAAAACGTGTTCTACTGATTGGTGGGTGTAATTGAAATGGTTCAAAGGACCTTTTGACATCTTTTGACCCCGGCGCATACAAGGAGCTGGCCATGTTTGCCCTGGCTTCCAAGCTTAGTGTAGAATCGGACCTTCACTACCCCAGTGTCATGTTCTCTTGGCGTTTTCCGACCTCTGCCGGGCTCCGTGGATCACCTCGTTCGCTGCCGATTCGGTGCCCGGAGGGCCGCGGTCTTCGCACTGGACTCACCGGTCCATTCGTTCGGATGCGACCAGACTCCTCGGGAGAGCGGAGAGCGGGAGCTCTGCGCAACGAACTCTGCAAGGAACAGTCGTGGGGTATTTGGATTGGGGTGTTCCCCATGTGGTGCGCCTTTTCCCTTACGATGTGAGCATTCACGACAGATGGCAGTCTGCAGTCTTTGATTCCTGAAGGTCTGCTCATCCAGACAAGGGTCATGTCGTGTACCCAAGTGGATCACGTTCATACCTTCTTTGAGGCGTGGTTTTCCCACTAAAATCCAACAGGTGGAAATAAGGCCAAACCTTGCAGGGAAACGGAGGGCGGAAGAATGTGTGCTTCCTTGCGAATCGTTTCACTGGGAATCGTTTCACCTGTAGTAACAAGGACTCTACCTACTAGTAGGTCTTTGATCGCTACTAGTAACAAGAAGCTGTATGGTCCTTCTTATTTTTGCCACACGCCGAGTGGCTCCCTGCACGAAGGCCTTGTTGCCGGCCATCATGCCGGTGGCTCGCGCGGCCAAGCTCCATCGAGAGACGCTCGGCGGTTGGGCATATCTACTGTACCTACATTGGGGCGGTTGAAAAGGGGTCCATGTAGGTATATTTGGGATTAATAAGGTGTTGTGCCTTTGCGTAAATTGCCACAGACAACTTGTGCACCAGCAAACGCCATACCTGCTTTCTCCGTAGTCATGAGTTTGGACTGTATCACACATACAGTAATACATCAGATCGACGACTGACCTCTCCAACAGGTTCTGTGCGACAACCACTGATCTTCTAGAACTATAGGTTGTCATCCATTTTCTGGGAGAACACCGAGTCAGGAAACCGTGAGTCAGGAAACCGGCTCGTCCAAGTCAGGAAACTGTTTTGACAGAGTCAGGAAACTCACAGTCAAGGTACCCACCTCTATAGGGTTTCTTGGGTTTCACTTGTTTGGGTTTGGCTTAGGAATTGGTTTCTTCAGAGTTTCTGAATGGGCTCGGCTTGCCGGGTTCGCAGACCTGCAAGGTCTCTTTGGGTTGGGTTTGAGGCTTCACTTCTTTAGGGGTTCTTTGGGTTTAGTGGGTTTTAGCGCTTCACTTCTGCAGGTCTGTTTGTAGGCTGTCTTTGGGCTTGGTTTAGGGCTTCACTTCTTTAGTGGTGCGGTCCATAGCTGGCCAGGGCCGGAAAGACTGGATGCGATGCAAGTCCAGTGAACCACAGGTTGTCTGCTTCGTCGCTCTTCGAGCCATCGGAGTTCGGATCCACGTCCGCACGTCCCGAGGTCCTGCCTGCAGGTTCCTGCCGGCAGCATCAGTCGGGCCGATGCATGGCACAAACTCGTGGAGCGGAGATGCCATGCCTTGTCGATGGGGGAATCTGGCTGCACGGTCAGTACAGTCGAAGTTTTCCAGTAGTGGTTTGTGAATGCATGGGTTATTGAATCTACAAAGCTGCTATTAGAAGGTGTGAATGAATGTAAAACATTCTGAATGATCAGCTACATCTTCAAGACTCCTACGCTTAGATCCGATTCCTTCGTTTTTGGGGCCCCCGGGTCTCGTCAAGTCAGGTCTCGGTCCTAGACATGTCCTATAGGCATGTTTCCTTAAGAGTGTTCAACACGTACTGCACGTGTGGTGGTCATAGAAGTTAGAGCCTGCGGGCACAGACCCCCGGAAGGCCAGAAAGTCAAACAAATTGGTCATATCCCCAGACCATCCATGGATGGAATGATTACTTCCATCCCGGTCAGAAATGAGAGGACTATCGTCTTGCTATTCCATGCGTGGAATATCTGGGTATATTATAGAAGTGTTTGGTCGTTTGAGAAAGACATGAGACGATCCGCAAACACGCCAGAAGAGCCGTGCGCAGGAGATCGTGGAGACTAAATGGGGCGGACCTCAGGCGATGTGAGAGAACCCAGGTGTTCCATCCCCTTGAGGGTCTCCAAGTTAAGTTACTTAGACCCCCCCAGGTACTGGGTACAATCAGGGTACCTTTTGTATTCCTTTGTACCAATCAGGTTTGTGGAAGTCCGTTGCGATGCTCGACATCGACGAAGGAAGAACAACACGTGAGCCATTGAGGTGTCGTCATCGTGGACTAGGACTCGTCCCAAGCACATCCTCAGAAACTAGGACTAGCTAGGTCGATCCCTCGTCCCACCCAAAATGAACAGAATAGACTACACCAGAATCTACCAGATATGGTCAACCTACTAGGGTTTACGGATGTCTCGGGCTGTGAAGTGACCCACAGCCACGTAACAAAACTCTGCAAGAGGGTTTTGGTTTGGAGCACCGAACATCAGATTCTAAATTAAATCTCAATTGAATTCTATCTATTTCTTGTTTCTAATAGCTTCTTGTTCCTAGTAGTACGGCCACCAGCCCCTAGTAGTGTCCTTTGCTCCGTTCGTAGCGATGCCAGGAGCCCCGTTCGTAGCGTCCCTTGCTCCTACCCCCCGCCATTGGCACCAGTTCCCTTGAGGCGGGTGGTTTCAACTAGACCCACTCGTCCCCTCGTCCGGAGGCCTTCTTAGAGAAGAGCGGCGAACTCTATGACAGCCAACGCGTTTCTCGGAGCACCGGTTTTTGCGAAGTTGTTTCTTGTTTGGCATCCAAAACCACGGGTTCAGAAGAAGCATGTTCTTCCCCAGGCGAATCCAGTGGAACCAATTGAACCCCAAACCCAGTGAACTTAAGGTATCTCATCACCGGCAGATAATTAGAGAATGCCCGAACATAACCCCAATCCTGGCATTCTTCAATGTATTGCTGTTTCGGAGTTGTGTCGCTCTTGAGAATGAAACACAGTAAATTGTCACAAAGTCTTTTCAGCAAAGTCCCATCGCGATCCATCAACGGACCATCATCCAACGCTTCAGATCTCCCAAGGGGGAGCGAATCGTGCCTTTTTTGTCTATAGAAGAAAAAGGGAACGATCTCATGACTTGTTTTTGCTTCAGGGCCACTGTTTGAACTGGCATGGATAGGGGCAATGTCTCACTGCTGACCTAACATTGTGATAGAACTTGCTTTGTGCAAACTCACCAAGTGAGTTACCGATCTAAAGAAGGTCGTTGCAGTGTTGCAGGGTTAAGGCTGAAGGACAAACTCAAGGCTCTCGGCACGCTGAAACAGGTGAGTCCTGACATAGAATGGCCTTCGGGCAATGTCATACACCCCAGTTCCAGAAGTTTGGAAGCAATCTACAATGTAGTAGACTACGTAGACTAATGATTAGTGTGAAATCCTTCATAGGGGCTTACATGAATCAACCGTCTACACCAATTACACTCCTCTAAATATTCCCTTCATTGAACACCAATCCGGGTTGAAGGTTTGGGTGTTTCTTCCTCTTTAAGGCCAGCGCACACGAACGGCGAGAGGGATCTGAATTTGACGCCTTGGTTCAAGATACCGGAGGAAGGCGCGTTTCGGACGGGTCAGGAAGACGCCTTCGTGTCGAGGTCTGAGGTCCCAGACCAGAAGGAAGTCCTAACATGATCAGCGGCTTAAGTAATTATAGGCTGTGTCCCAGAACCAGTAGGCACAGTGAGGTTATAAAGCAATCAATATTTGGCTATTGGGGTATGATATGACCGATCACTTTGTTTTGCGGCATCATCGTGGGCCAATGGGGTACCAATAATAGTGCATCGTTTGTCGTTTTGATAATAACTAGTCTTTTGATGTCTTTTGCCTTTTCTGGCAACAGACTTGCTTCAGGGTCGACATGAATCTGGTGAAGTCAGCTGGAATCACAGTCGGCATTATTTGGCTAAGCCAGGATCCTCTAAAAGCTAGTTGGGTACAGACAAGTTGGTCCCGGCAAGAACCTTTTGGGTTATCCCTCAAGTGTCCCCTCATCAGCTGTTGCAGTTCAAAAAAAATATTTGTCGAGAAAGTATCACCTATCAGGGTCTCAACAATGCAACAAGGACGACCACCGTCAGAAATCAAAATGGTCTGAACCAGGATTTGTTGAACAAAACCAATCAAAACCTCACTCGTTTTATCTACTTCCGTTAACTCATCGATCTAGACCGACCACCTGTGTCCAACGCCATGCACGTGCCAAAAACGTGTGAAAACGCCGTGGGGATGCTCCCGCTCCGCCAGGATGGCGGTGTCGGAGCTCCTTCGATGGACAGCGGATGCTGGAGGGGTTGGGACCCCGAGGGGAGGGGGATTCAATTGGTTTCGAAAGGGATCCAAATCGGATATAAGGTACAGGATGGGTTTCTGTGTGTTGTTGTTTTTTTTGGGTGAGGCGGGTTCGTGTATGCTTGATATTATGTTGTTTGTGTGTGTCAACTTGTGGTTGATCAATAATGATCCATATGTCTTATACATGTTTGATTAGATCTATGATAGATGATATATATAATAAATAATACAAATCCATTTCGTGAGACACCTAATGAGAGGCTCCATTTTGCAGGTGTAGTTCATTCCAGCACCACAGAGTTCGGGTGGTTCTTGGAGGGTAGTACCTACGTAGTCAGGGGTGTCAAACAAGGCACCCGAAGTCCTGGTGCTCGTTGGTTTATCAAAGAAAACATGGCTGCAGGCCCAAACCCCCGCAGCTCTCCAGGTTCGTCAAAGCCTCAGGCACTCGCAAAGAGACCAAGTCCTTTTGGTATCCAAGGCCAAGGTCTCCAAGTTCTGAAGCCTGAAGCTATACCTAGAAGCCAGACAGCACCTTTTTGGTTGGAAAAGGCCACATTTGGGATAGGTGATCCTCCAAAACAGGGGCCACTCAGGTTCTAAGATGTTCTAAGGTATAAGACATGTCAACCTACATTTCTAGCTGACTTCTAGCTTTTGCTCAAACCGGCCACATGAGAATACATGAGCGTGTCTACTGCAACTCCACAAGTCTCGACAAGCTCGAATCAATTGTTGTTGCCCATAGACAAGCGCACGAACTTGGGGACGAACCAAGCAGTGAAGCATCTTCGGAATCCACGCAATCCACGAACCAATCAGCCGATTCGGAAGATCGAACATCGGCTGTGGCTATATGAGACCAATGAGGTACGGTCGGTCATTTCTTGGAAAAAAGATCGATCAGTTATCAGATTGAAACTCCCGGGGCGACAAGCTGCGTTCCACAACAAGCTTCTTGACTGAAGCTGGCTCTGGGAAGCTGACCAGTCAAACCAAACCAAAACTCGCTTTGTGACCTAGACGAAGGACAGCTTTTCTTCGGTGGCACGGACCGGCACCTGAACACCATGTCCAGATCACTCGTGCACACCAAGACGCGCGAGTCGAGTCGACGTCGGTCCAGGGCGTCCAACGTTCGCCGCTCTTCAGCGCCGTTCACACCATGCCGACCAGCGCCGTGTCCTCCATGAGCCGCTCCCTGGCGCGGGAGCGCGAGTCGGGCGACTCTGAGTCCGAGGACGCCGACGCCAGGCGTGTCACGCGACGAATCCACAAACATGGGCGCGTGTCGTATGGATTCGGCAAACCAGTTGGGGAGGGAGGTCATATAGGTGGAGAAGGGCTGTAATTGCCGTGATTTGCAGCTGGGACAGATTTATAACGGGTTTTAAGTTGTTCTAATTTATTTTGTCCAGCTCATATGTTTTGCATTGTTTGCATGGTTAATGAATAGACCCAGGATGATTGGTGCTTTCACAGCCCAAATTGTGATGTTCTGCATAGCTTCAATGTTTACGGTCCTAAGTTTTGAGCGTCTACAGGGTCAATCAATTCCAGATCTGATTAATCGTAATTACTGTGTAGATGTACTATATAGACGCAATAGAGAGATGTACTGCTACAGCAGGTCAGGCCAACCCTGTCACTCCACCCACCAGGTCCGGCACCCGCATCAGGTCCTCGCTCATGTGGTGCTGGAGGGCGAGGGCGCCGCACGGCTTTCACATGCGCGAGGAGAGCGACGACCCCGAAAGTAACGGTGTCTTGGAGCGAAGGCGAAACTTTGGAATGCAGGTGAAGGATGATGAAGGACTGACTGAAGTAAAGGAAGATGCAGGAAGCTAGTGCTCATGTTGAACTCCAAGAGTGAAGTCTTGTGCAGCTAGTGTACAAGAGATTTGCAAGTACTTGTTGCATTTTAAGGTTACTTGCTCTTTGAAAGTCCTGGAAGCCAACCTTCACAGTACCCGTGAAGCAAGAGTGAATCAGAGGTGATGAACTGTTAGAAGCTGGATGCGATCGATAAACAACTCGTTGTGGTAAGCTGATTCGCAACCAGCACAGGACTTCAGCAGCATGAGATCGCTGTGTTGTGTAAAGTCTCCCAGCAGGTTTGCTTTAACAGAGTATGACATCTTTACTCTCAGCGGTGTTTTGTGACAATTGCTCAGGTTTTCTTACTTTGGGCTATAAACAATGGCCTGTCACCCACCGTCCAGGGATTCAATTGGCAAGAGGCCACCAAGTACCACGTGGCGAACGGTTCAGACTTGCCCTCATCCCATTTGAAGGGTGCAAGAATCATACCCTCAAAGTCCGGGAAAATGACGAACATGTTGCAATGTGAACTGATAGTGGAATACGACTTCCAAGTGAGGTGCCACGAATACGTGCCATGAAGGACAGATAAGGACAGTCACGGTTCGTGTACCGACCGCCTTCATGGCCCAGTCGACCCATCGGATCGTTCCAAAAACCCACAACCATCTATCGATATTGCTATCGATCCACATACCGAACCAGGTCGCTACGGTGAGGGAGACGATTTATGTCGACTCAGACAGTCCAGTCGTACCGGAATGAGGTACGGTAGGCAGCCCTCCGGCACACGGCGCCGCCCGTACCGGGTCCTCCCCGTCCTCTCGCGCCGAGGCTTCGCCGCCAGCGACGACGGCACCAGCGAAACATCGGATGAGCGGATTTTGGAGCGGTCGACCCGGTGGACAGTCGAATAGCGACCTATCAGAAGCTTCCGGGCCCTTTTATTGGGGTTTCCGGACCCTAAACCCTAAACCCGATCCATATGTATTTGAGGGGCCAGCTATTCTTACGGTGACATGATCTCATAGACACTTGTATATCTCTTCTGCGAAGATGTTTCCATCTCGCCAATTTCTGAAGAGGTTGTCTGTGGACATGAGGGGGATATGTTATAAATTCATCAAGAGTCTACCTGAGCTTGTGAGCCAGAGACCTAGGAGACCGATCCGCTCATTGAAAGTGAAAGCTCATCACAGCCGGAAAAAAACGGTTCCAAAGGACAAGGATGGATGTATGCTAAGACGACGATCCAGGAACCTGGTCCGTTCATATTGAGTCATGATTGGTGCCTAGCACTTCCAACGGGTGCCCTGTCTGGAGACCTGTCAGTAGGGTAGGGTAGTCTATTGGACACCCATTGGATGATCCTGGTGGTTGTGTTGTCCGTTTGATTTTTGAAAATGATTCTTCATGTTGCTCTGACAATCAGATCGATGTCGTCCCCTGACATCCCTTGACAACGTTCCATACAGACGACCTTCCGTCCAACGTCGTCTCCTAGCGTTGAGCTCCAGGACATGGAGGGCAAGTTGTCGGAGTCCCAGGACGAACAGCAACCGAGAGACGCCCTTGTGACGCCCGAGCCGTTGGCGCCCGACCCGTTGGGGATCATTGCAGGGATCGAGAGCCAATGGCGATGTCTTGGGTAAAAGATCCGCAGGGTTTTCTGATGCTCAGCATGTAGCTTATAACGTTTTTCATTTGGCGAGTTCCAGCGGTCTTTAGAAGAAGTCTTAAGAAAAGGATGAAGCGAGGCATTTACGCCCTGTCCATGTTTTACTTGTTTTACATTAATCCAATATGGATTTTGGTTACCCTGAATATAATCCATTGTTTTGCAGCTGGATGAAAAAGGTAAGAGGTAGGTTTTTGTTTTGACTTGTTTGAAGCAGTGCAGGGGTTGTTGAGGTTGACATTTGTGCAAGGCCTGCAACAAACAGTTATTTTGATCATAGAAATGGACCCCACTTGTAACAAGAGAACATCATAAATTTTGAGCAAAGGCCTTGGCCTTTCTTGGCCGTTAGCCATCATGGTTGATGTGGTGAGATAGGGGAAAGGATACTACTCGATCTAGCAACCCACCTTAGAAGCACTATATCAATTACCGCCACCTCCTTGGAACATGTCAAGCCACCTACAAAGTCGTTCTAGTGATGTGAGGCCTGACCTCAATAGGCGCTTTGAGAGGGAAACAACAACAAGCCAGTGTCTCCGTCCTCGCAGTATAAAGAGGCTCGACCCGACACTTCAGACGTGCGCGCGTGGGCGCGCGCGCGCGCCGATGGGACGACGACGGACCAGCGCCCGCCACGTCCAGGACGCAAGACAAGAGGCTGAGGAGCACCTGAAGCGCATCGACGATGCCTACAACAAGCGGCGCAAGGAGCTCGAAGAGAGCCTTGGAGGAGGTGAGTAGGTACCACATGGACAAGGAGGTACCTGTGGGACGTGTCGGAGGTTTTGGGTTGGACAAGGAGTGTGAGGTGAAAAAGAGCAATCTTGATCCGATGATTCGGGTAGAAACGGACCCCCTGATGGGCTTATAGGGTCTTGGAGAAATGCTTCCAAAGTTTTCAACCAAACAGACCCAGGGTACCCAGGTCTATGATGGTGCTGCAAGCTTGGTGCACAGGCACCAACATCATCGATGGACCAATTCCTCATTTCCTTAGCTAGGCACCGACTGGTGGAGAGGGCTCGGTTTCACAGGTGGTGGCTTCATGGTGAACATACTGCAGGAGGCATTGGACACACACCCACACACTCACACGCCTGGTTTGATAGGAAAAAAAACACATTTTTCGTCGAGGGTTTGTACTCCAAATAAGATGTCACTCAGGTTCTGAGTCAGCAGCCAGCTTCAGGAGTTCCTGCGAGCTGGATTTCTTGGAACATGTTTGAACACATGCCGACATGTGATTTCCAGTGGTGGAACTTGTTTCTGCATCGCTTGACTTGTTGGCTGGAATAGGCTGAACAAAATGTGGTTGGTCGCGATCCAATTTGGTCGGCTCTATTCTATTCTATGTAAACTAATCCGAAACATAGCGAAACTGTTTGATTATTGCTTCCTCCTTTGTCCTCCAATTCCTCCAGTGGCAAGGTCAAGTTCCAGGTCCTTCACTTGGGAAGTCGCCCCAGATCGATCGATCCACAATCCGACCCTCCGACCCTCCGCCCCCACACCCAGCGGACCAGCTGAACAGTGGACCCCCAATTCAGCTGAACGGAGCTACAGCTGTTCACGCGTGACGGTACTATCGAACTCCCCACCCCTCCCAGGAGCATCAGCGAGCTCAAGGCCGGGCCATTCCATCTCCTTCACTTGGTGCACCGAACCGTGAAAAAGCATCGTTCGTGGATCGGAGCCAGCGGCGCTTGCAGCATATTTTAGGGGTCTCTTGGTCTTGGGGCTTTGTATAGTTTTGGTCATTCCGCAGTGGCGCAGTAGAGGTTTGCCTTTGCCAGGGAATTCTTTACCAGGGAATTGCTGGTCAAGAGCATGTGCTGTTCGCGTTGCCTGTTTTTTGCCACTGCTTGCTACGTCGGAATGTCTCAGACCTTCGAATTTGCGGCTCCTCTGGGACGCTGAAGTGGACCCGGCATCCGGAAACGAACAAAAGGTCTTTATATAGTTCGGTGGTGAAAACTCCGCAGGAACAGCTGGAAGAACAACACCAAGAGCTGGACCGCCTCGAAGCGGAAGATGGCAAGATGGTGAACTCCTTCCCTGGTCCCAGGCCGAACGCTGCCAACCGTCCGTTCGTCCGTTCGTCGCTCGTTCAGACGTGAGAACCACCACCACGCCGCGGAGACCCCTGGGCGCGGGACGCGAAGGCAATGCCCCCGGGCCCAGGGGAACGATTCGCTGCGGCGTACGCGCGATGTTGGTGCGACGGTGCGATCGAAACGTGCACAGAACGGTGAGTGCCCGTTTCGTGAGGGCGCACTAGGATTCCTGAAGCGGGAAGGAGTGATGTGAAGATGGATTTCAACGGATTCTCACCTCCAAGAGAAGTTGCCTCAAACGGATTTTGGCGCTGTCAATGGCACTGTGAGCAATTGCATGCGAACTTGGGTCAATGATTGACTGTGTGATCTCTTGATCGTTTTCAGATCACTTGATTCAGTTGAAATAGTAAGCATAATGTGGTGCTCGATTCCACCCAAACTGCTTTGGACGTATTTCCTCCCACTTGCGATTCTAGTGTTTTGTTTCATATTATATCATATATTCACACTTGCATTTAGCTTGCGGTTGCAAGTTTTATGTTCACAAAAGTCACCAAAATGTCCCACCGGGACATTTTGGCTCAAGAGAAAAGCAGTCTCGAATCACTGCATTTGTGAGAAAAAGGTTCTGCAGATCCTTTTGGAGCTTGGCAGGGATGTTTTTGCTTTTGAGTACATATGAATATGTATTGTATTTTCATATTATATCATATTATTGCTTTTCATGACAGTTTGTTGGGTGAAACATGTACTTGCTGATCAAGACATATCAAGACTGTCAAGTTCTCCTATTTTCCCTCATGGTCCCATGAGTGCATCACCTGTCAACACTTCATGCAAATATGGTATGGAAAATACGGCGTATATATCACAAAATTAATATTATATATGTATGTATGTGCCACCCCATTGACCCCGTTTCAATCAAAACCACGCTGGCCTCATCCCGGTGTCGTCCATCGGTCTCCCCAGGTGCCTCAGATGGGTGGAGGGCGATGTCTTCACTGTGGCCTCCACTGCTGTCGTGGCCACTTGGAGCGGATCGTGTGCGTTGCGTGGCCACTGACTTGTTTAGACGACGTAAGCCAATGTGTTCTTTTGGGGCAGAATGTTATAACTATGGCCTAGGCATGCATATGCAGCATGCAAATCATCTCAAATCCATTTTGGTGTCATTGATTGCTTGTGGTTTGTTTCACTCTTGTGCCCGTCAAAACATGCTGCTGGTGACTGTTGGTGCATCTTAGATGCACCTTTTTAAACACACATCACATCTACTAAGCTATACTTGATTTATTGCCAACATACCCCGTTTGGCTTTGATGGTCAGCGGAAGCTGTAAGGGGATGATCGAACTCCGTCCATCAATTGGTAGCGATTCGTTGCCGTCCAAACACCTGGGGGTGTATTACAGTGTATTAACCCTACGGCTCCTGGCCGCCACCTCCGTTTCGGTGGTTAGGGTGGGGTGCCAGGGGGGTCTAACCACCTGAGGAGATGGGCCGTTCGGAGCCCTGTAGGGTAAGCTAGGGAGACCTCCCAGGCCACGACTCCCAGGCCTTTCGGGTTCGGAGCATCGACCCAGAGTCCTCGAGCCGGGGCGAGCGGACTCGGGGATCTTCCGTTCTTGCCACACCCACCCACCGGGTTGGGGTCAAGTGCATGTTCTGAGAAGGCGTGTCAGGTTACGCTGGCAAAATTGGACCAGGTCCTTGGTCGGTTCACTGCGCTTCTTTCGGCACCGGTACAGTAGTGTTTTTTAATGTGTAAAACAATGTAAAACAAGGGTTCTTTGGAACGGGTTATTAAATCAATTGCGCTTGGCATCCCAGGGCCAAGGCACCCAGATATGCTGTTCATTACTTGAAGTGGTTGACTAAAGTGACCAAAAAGGGCGACTCTCTATGGAAAAGCTTGTTTAAAGGGAATAAACGACATTCTTCAAACATGAACGCATACGGCATATGAACCATGACCAGTGCCATCCAAATTGAGTTACGGAATGTTATGGACTGTTTTGGAAATCGAAATTGGAAGCTTGCAGAGCCTGAGCTGGAGAAGGCTCAAACATCGCTAACACGACTACGGATATAGCTACAGGATGAGTTTTCCACCTGCCCCTGATAGCCGATGCCCCCATGCTCCATGGCATGTCACATATGACCCACTGATTTTGGGGCAAATCGTTGACGAATCCAGCTCCATGTTGCGAATCCAGCTCCATTTGGATTCGTCACCGAGCTCGATTTCTGGCTCTCCTTCGTTCCGCTCCGTTCAGCTCCTCAACGTCATCATCATCGTCCGGGAGATCTTGGACGAACCGTCAACAGCACGTTGGCCCTGGACGAACCACCACGGTACTCGTCCACCTTCGGATAAATTGGACAGGTGGGGGCAGAGCACTGAAGGGGTTGGGAAAAAGAGCGAATAACGTATGCGGATGCGGATTAGGGTTGAAGTTGGAGAATTGGACGAACTTTGATGAATTACAGGTCACAGGTCCATTAACTTAACAACGTTAGCTACATGTTTAAGATACAGCTACGGCGCTTATCACGCTGAATATTATCTTAACGTGGGTGCTAGCTAAACGTTGGATCCTGTGCTTATGCAATTATGTTGATCCTTCCTCTTGCTATGTGGGTGGCCTAGCCTGAAATCCTGAGTCAATGTTAGACTGTTACATGGTCACGGGTTATCCTGACGCTGCGGGGTCAGAGTTTTTTGCAGGATCTTGAGGATATGCCTATCCTCCGTGCTTGTTACCTTTCCCTCCACAGGTCTTTTGCGACTCTTCTTGTTCAACAGCTACACCCGGGAAGACTGGAACCTGATGGCATGGACCTTTGGAAGCCTAGCTTCTTCCACCAACCACCAGTGATGACACAGGTGCCTTCAGTGGGTCTCTTCGACCAGTACTCGTCGACGTACTCGGCTGATCTTCACCAGCTCCACCGCCACCCGTTGACAGGTTCCGACGCGTTTGCTTCGTGCTCGACCAGGCCTGCGGGGCCCGGGGCCTGGACCACTCCGACGTCGTCGGCGTCCCGAGCGTAGCCAGACACGACACATGGGACTGGAAGATGGAGGTTACCATGGATATACCGTGGATACCTATCGTCCACGTGCATTTCTGATGAAACCATATTTGATGAGTCGCAAGTCTAAGGGGGCCAGCGCTACAAGTTACAAGTTATAAGCACATCTCTCCCAACCTTTGGGAACTTGGACAGGCCATTTCAGACACGCCATGGCATTAATGATTAATGGACTCCATGTTTTTAGAATGCAACATGTGGAAAGCTTATGCACATGTGGCTTGCAGATTGTTGCTTAGGTTTTGCACCAACATTCACAAGGCCTTTGCATAGTTTGGTATAGGATGGTATAGGCATAGGTGTTTAGACATTTGGGACTCACACGCAATCCGATTGGTGTTTTTGTTCCGGTTCAATTTGGTTTCAATGTCACTCATTTTGATGTCCTTGTCGACACATTTAATTTTCTCTCAACTGATCGCATATGTTTTCTCCATGAGCACAGAAATTGGATCACCTCATCTAAACTACCCCAAATTGCGTTCCGCTTCATGACCTGAAATCGTCGAAGGGTTTTGGAGTGCCAGGCCTTCTTGGTTTTCTACCTGATGGAGTTCACGCTTCGCGGTCTTTTGATGCAACACAAGCTCCTTTGCGGCCGCTTGGCTCCGATCGACGTCGCGTCGACCCGAAGTCGTGGTGACGAAGCGGCACCTGATCGACGTCGCGGTGACCTACGCGGGTCTGGGGAAGAAACGTGTGGCAACCCCACGGTGTTGCAGGGTAGGGCGGAGGCTAGGTGGGCGGATTTCAACGGGGGCAAGGTAGGTGGGCGCTTGGATGGGAAGACGTCGATGGAATTCAAGACCCGAAGAAATCAAGACCCGAGGATGCAAAATGGCCGATGGTCCAGATGGACCCTTTTGCCAACTTTTTTAAGGGATCCGCATACCTCCTCAGAACGTGCTTGGACCCTCCAAGCCTACCTAAAAGCCTCCAATCAGCCTCTCAGAGGGTATGTGGATAGGGTTTGGACCTCGTTTGGGGACGTTTGGGGAGAAATTCCTTCGACCCAGCGAGCAGGTTCTTGACTATAGTGGGGGGCTGATCAAAACTACATGCAAACATTCACAGCTGGCAGGATGGAGACTCTAGAGCCTGGCCTATCCAGTTTCTATGTTTGCAAGTTGCTGAACTGTGAGTCAATTTGAAGTTCTTTTTGTGGACTATCTTTAATTTTCATCTCGTGGGATATCGTACGAATCTGGAGGTCAATGCACATGGTTTTGGGAAAAACCGACAGATCGAACCCACTCGGCATGGAGCCAGCCTTTGGGATTGAAAGAAAAAGACACATCCATCCATTCTACATCGTATATGAAATGGGACATTCATGGACATTCCGATTCACTACTTGGGGCTCCAGTTCCGACATGTTTGAAGAGTATTTTGTTTCACAATCCCTGGACTTTTGCTATCAGTCGAATCAGTGGCAGTGGTGGCATTTTCATCAACGGCATCGCCCCAAAACTCCGGTGCCCATGCCTGGCGCCATTGCGCAGGCGAGTTGGGGGAAGACGCTTGGCGGGCAACTGGCTGGGCAGTTTCACAGGGTGGACCCAGGATGGACTAGCGACTAGCTGGGCATCGTTGTGAAAATTCCTCGGCCGTTCCAAGATGCAAATCTGAGAGCCATCGCTCGCGTGCTGAAGAGCATGGTGTTGAAGAATTGACTAGACATCAGAGCGTGCAGTCACTCGACGCGATGCAACTGGAAGTGTATTTTGGGAGACACCCTGGCCCAAGGGGTATTTTTTGACTGATCTATTTCCCTTCTTCCAGGGTCTCCCTTTTCCAATACACACACCAAATCGCCCAAATAACCACTGCAAGCACAATTCTCCAACAAAGTCACAGGCATGCCAACACCTTGGAAGGCCTCCAAGTGGTGGTGTGCTTGGAATGCGTGTGTCCATCGAATTGCCAACCTGAAACTTTGACCAGTCACGATGCAGGAACAACCAGAACGACATGAAAAGGCAAATGCCACAATTCGACAAGAACAGTAACACTGCGTGGAGGTGTGGCAACATGTTGCGAAATCAATCAATTTTGGTTTCAGGAGTCAGGAGATTTCAGAAGTTCTTCCATTGCATCCAGTCTCTTTGATAGAAACTCGGTGATTCAAGACATTGAAGACAAGAACGAGTTATACAGTATAAATAGTGGTCCTACCAACCATAGTCTCCTGCTGTAATTGGTAGCAACTGGAATTTGTTGGGGTGACCCATATAACCCCACCCCCTTTCTTGCGGAGTTCGATATATGCATGGAACTTGTATACTCCAAGTCGCAGGAACCCTCGGAGATCTGAATGGATGGCTTAAAGGGAACATCTACAGAAAATCCCGGGTCTTCCAACCCTATGGGTTTCCTGTCGATGTTTCTCCAAACCAATTCTGGAAGATCACCCTTCGTTTTGAGCCCTTCCTTTGAGATGACCCATCACCTTCGCATCACCTTCGTTCTTTTTCAAAGAGCTCATTTGCTCCGTCCTGTGGGATGGGTCGTGATCCACCGGGAGCCCGACGGTCGTCCACCATGTAGCTCGTGCACGGTCGGTCTACGCCGGTCTCCTCGTGCCAAGTCCCCACAGCCATAGCCCCTGCAGATTGTAACCCCAAGACCGAGTGGGTCAAAAAAAGGAACATGGTCTTCCAATAGGCTAGCCTATATAATATATATATATATATATGTAATGGTATATGGTTCCATGTTAGTCTAAACCAATGGGTTATAGAGGAAACTGGTCTAAACCACGGGTCAATCCTCAGGTGCCATGGGATCGTTTTGTGGGAAAGTACATCGACCCCTTCTGGTTGACCACCCACGAGGGTGACCAGGTATGCTGATGTTCAGAGGTCTTCCGAAGAGGGGGACCCCGTGGTGCGAGGTGGAAGTGGGGGGAGTCCTGGTAGAGAGTCCTCATTTTCTGGGGTTTCTAGCACTGAGTGTTTCCATAAGCCACCCCCTCGTGTTTGCGCACAGGTCATTTGGAACTGGCTGGACCTCCTGATCGTTGTGGCTTCCAAGCCGCATCACCGAATCACCCCAGGTCCCGTCTTTGCCGGACGTGACGCAAGACCGATCCGTCCAAGCGCTGTAAATGCCAATGTCATCATGGCATCCCATTTCTGCCCTGTCTCGAAGCGGATATTCGAACGTAGAATCAGAGGGCCTTCATACAGTCGAGGCGATCCACCCCTAACCATATATCATCATATATCACGGATGGGAAAAGTCTGGCAGTTAGGGGCAGAGGTCCTGATTCCTGGAAGCAAGTTTACAGGAAGGCTTCCCACAAGCTTATGACTCATGTTTCTCAGTAGGATCTTTGGCTACCCAGGAATCTCGATGTTTTGTATTGTCTCCCGACTGGATGTAAGGTGGCAACGTTTTCATTTTTGTAAATATACCACCACGTAACAAGAACGTACCTCTCATGCATGGGTCCAAGGACCTAAGGAGCTCCGCGATGAACTGTGTTCAGATTAGAACACTTTCTTGCTTGTAGGAACAAGTGCCTCGCTAGTAGTAACAAGTGCCTTACTAGTAGTAACAAAAAGCTAGTAGAAACAAGTGCCTTACTACTAGTAACAACAAGCTGTCACTTTATGTGTTAACATGCCTTTGCTGTACAGCCGGGTCTTCACAGGGCTAAAGACCTGGGCCTTGAAACGCCCTGTCTTCTACTGCTCCAAGGTTGG